TTTTACATTTTATTTTAAAAGGTTAATTCAACTATCAATTTGTTATTTAAGTTCAAGAAAATTACTTTGCTTAGAAGACACCATGGCTAAAATTGAGAGCTTCAAAGGCTTTATAGAATATTCCAGGTGAAATCTGCTTCTGATAAAAGTAGAGAATGGAAGCCATTAGAAACTAACTTTGTTGCTATGTGGGGGAAAAATGAATACACAAAGAGAAATGTTCACTAAGAGAATCTGCTATGTGCCAAATCATCAAGTGGAACACTGCTACCTTGGTACTAAACCCACTGAGTCATTTTTAGACTCGTCAGTAATGGTCAGGTGACTGAATTATAACTCCTTTATCTGGGAGACATTTTTGTGCCAACCTCCACTATCCAGAATAAAGTCAGAATCAGGGAGACAGTAGGGCACTGGACCAGCAGGGATGATGTCCAAGTCACCGCTCCACCCACAAGGCCTAGCACACAGTGGATACTCATTCAATGCCAGATGACATAGTCCCTGATTCCAAAGCTAAAAGTAATCAGTGTGATACTGCCACACAGACAGACACATCCATCAAGGGAATAAAATAAAGAGCCCAGAAAGAAACCTTTGTAATATTTGGTCAACTGATTTTTGAAAAGGGTGCCCAGACCATTCAATGGGGAAAAGAAAGTCTTTTCAACAGCTGGTGCTGGGAAAACTGGATATCCATAGCGAGAAGAATGAAGTTGGACCCTTACCTAACACCATATACAAAAAGTAACTCGAAAAGGATCAAACCTAAATATAAGACCTGAAACCATAAAACACTTAGGAAAAAACACAGGGGAAAAAGCTCCATGGCAATGGATTTGGCAATGGGTTTTTGCATATGACATCAAAAGCACAGGCTTAGGCCGGAGACCATCAACACAACGGCGGGGCGGCAGTTCACGCCTGTAGCCCAGCACTTTGGGAGGCCAAGGTAGGGGAAATCGCTTGATACCAGCCTGGGCAACTTAGCAAGACCCCGTCTCTATTTAAAAAACTCAACAACGACAACAAAGTAGAACCGGAAATAGGGACTGACTTGCTCACTACTGGTGGGAATGTAAAATGGCACAGTTGCTGTGGAAAACAGTACGGTACAAATTTTGTGACTTTTTTTGAGACAGAGTCTCGCTCTGTCACCAAGGCTAGAATATAGTGACACCTCGGCTCACTGCAACTTCTGCTTCCCAGGTTCAAGTGATTCTCATACCTCAGTCTCCCAAGTAGCTGAGATTACAGGCACGCACAATGACGGCTGGCTAATTTTTTATTTTTAGTAGAGACAGGGTTTCACCATCTTGGCCAGGCTGGTCTCAAACTCCTGACCTCAAGCGATCTGCCCGCCTTAGCCTCCCAAAGTGCTGGGATTACAGGAGTGAGCCATCACACCTGGCCACGTTACATATATTTTACATATATATACACACACACATATATATACGTACATACACATACGTATTTTTTCACTCCGTCACCCAGGCTGGGAGGCAGTGGCATGATCTCAGCTCACTGCAACCTCCACCTCCCGGGTTCAAGCAATTCTCCTGTCTCAGTCTTTTGAGTACCTGGGACTACAGGCGCCTGCCACCACGCCCGGCTAATTTTTGAATTTTTAGTAGAGATGGGGTTTCACATTGTTGCTCAGGCCGGTCTCAAACTCCTGATCTCGTGATCCACCCGCCTTTGGCCTCCTAAAGTGCTGGGATTACAGGGGTGAGCCACTGTGCCCGGCCCATCAACATTTTTTAAGTGAAAAAGGGAAGCTGAGTAAGTTACTGAATAAATGAGCAATGAACACAAAGGTCAGTTCAAGCATCACATTTGCTTCTGGTCACAGGAACTAGTTTGGCTAATGCTTATTTTGTAACAATCTTTCTAGTCCTTACCCCTCAGTGGAGAAAAAGAAAACACTCATCAGGGTCAAAACGCTTGGAGTGCGAAGAAGAGAGTGGCCGGGGAGGGGAGGGCAGAAAACAACTTGCTGTGAAAGGTACACAAACTTGACAGCCAGGAACACAACAGTAGACAGCCTGACAGGAGAGGAGAAGGGGAAAAGATCAAAGCAGAACCCTAGAAGTACCGGGAAGGGAACTATTGAGACTAGAGGTGAAGACTGCTGTCTCCACAGGCAAAGCTGTTTAACAGCACTCAGTGACTTCCTGGTGACATTATCATAAATGGTACAGTCATGAAGGGTGCTGTTTAGGAAGACAGAAGTCAGTATACATTTTGGAAAATTCCTATCAAACAGGTAAAATAATTTAGTTTTAAAACCCAAAAAGATAAAGTTCTCTCATGCAAAAAACTCACTCATGAAAACCTTCATTCTCTGATAATACATAAATAGACTGTCACACAGAATTTCTGGGATTTTTTTGGTGTAAATAATAAAATTAAATAATTTCTACTTTTAATATCTGCACATAATTACAGTAACATAATCACAATTTATCATCTTACTTTAGTCTGAGAACTTTTTAATTACAATGCACACCTGTAATCCCAGCACTCTGGGAGGCTGACGTGGGAGGATCACTTGAAGCCAGGAGTTCAAGACCAGCCTGAGCAACACAGTGAGACCCCTGTCTCTACAAATTTTTTTTTTTAAATCAGTCGATCACGGGGGCACACGCCTGTGGTCCCTGCTACCTGGGAGGCTGGAGGATCTCTTGAGCCGGAGTGTGAGGCTGCAGTGAGCCGTGATTGTGGCTGCTGCACTCCAGCCTGGGCAACAGAGCAAGACCCTGTCTCTAAAACAATAGTAATAAAAACACAGATATTCTAGCAATACTTCATTAGTATACCTAGAGATTATAATAGATTTTTTAAAACCAATAATCCAACCTTTGCTGTCAAGGAAGATATATCCATCAAAACGATCTCTAAAAAGAAGGATGTCATCAGGATTCCTAAAATTAATGTATGCTCTTGAGTAGAGATGAGGATAAAGACTGAAATAAGAGATAACAGTGAAAATGGTTAGTGAAAAATACAATACTCCATTATTTTAGCCTCTTTTTCCTTTTCTGGGCACAACAAACTACTTTAGATAAAACTTCTATGCCAAATCATCTCAGTTAATTGTAACAATCTGGATATTCTTTAGCAAAAACAAATGCAAAACGTTAACTTTACGAGGCAGAACTCAGGTCCCTTCTGCACTGCCCAGAACCGGTCCTCGGAGGCTGAAACCCTAAGGCAAAGCCAGGGCGCACTCCCAGAGGAACCCGTGGCGCCGGGGACCCTCTCCGGTATTTAGAGCCGCACTGGCTGCGGCACCGGCGTGGAGGCCACAGGAAGAGCCGGCGCCCTCCCGCCCCTCCCCGTCGCGCCCCGTTCGCGTCCGAGCAGGGAGGCCCGGGAGGCGCCGGGCGGGCAACGCTGGTCCTTTCAAAGGCGCCCGTTTTCCTAAGCGTTAGCCGCCTGAAAATCATCCGCATTTCTAATGCAAACCACATCTGTTTCCTTGTTGCTGGTATTTTTCTTTGAAAGGACTTACACGTTTTACTGAAATGTAATTTATTCAAAAAGTTCACACGACTCCCATAAAGGAGAAATCACGGTAAGGAACTTAAGGCAACGAGAAGGCCAGCGGCGCAGAGCTCTGGGTTCCGCCCTCTCCTCCTCCTCCTCGCTTTGGGGCGGGCCTCACCTCAGGTCGGCGGCGAAGAACTCGAAGTAGTCGTGCGCTGGCAGCGGGCGCAGCTGCTCCTCCAGCTGCTCCTTGGTGAGGCCCGGGGGCAGGCGGCGGATGACCACCTGCGGGGAGCGCGCGGCCGTTCCCACCGCAGCGGGGCGTGGACATGGAGCTCCGGAGGGACCGCGCACCGCGCACCGCCCCTCCCGCCCCCTCCCCTCCCGGCCCCGCCCCCTCCCCTCCCGGCCCCGCCCCCTCCCCTCCCGGCCCCGCCCCCTCCCCTCCCGGCCCCGCCCCCTCCCCTCCCGGCCCCGCCTCCTCCCCTCCCGGCCCCGCCCCCTCCCCTCCTCCTCCGCTCAGGACCATCCTCTCCTCGCGAGGTTTGCGCGCCCCGCCCCCGTCCCCGTCCCCGTGCCCGTCCCCGTCCCCACCTTACTCAGGGCCGTCCTCTTCTCCTCGCGAGGTTTGCCCGCACCGCCCCCGCAACCGGAGGACGAGGTTGGCTGCGTCTCAGCTTCCCGCTGCGGCGAGTCGCGGTGGAACTGTACTTCTAGGGCCGACAGCTTTTCCCTCCCGCACGGTCCCCGCGCGGCAACGGCCGCCCTAGGGCCTCCGGCCCCCTCCTTTTCCGAGCGCATCCCGCACTCTCCGCCGAGCCGCAACCGTCAGCCCTCGACAAAACCTCGCGAGAGCTCGACAGCCCCCGCCCCGCCCCTCCTCGGGCTGCGATGCTCGGGGCCGCCCACCAAGGGGCCAGGAAGCTGCGGGACGGGTCGGGGTCGGGGTCGCGGTCGTGACCTCCGGCCACACAGCCTAGCTCTCCGCGGAGCCGGGCGGACCCTCAGGGAGCGGCGGCCGAGGTTTAGGGCGGCCCCGGAAGCGGAGCGCCGGCGGCTTTGGTCTGGTAGTGGTGAGAGGAGATCGCGGACAAGCCGCCTTCCCAGCCCAGCACCGTTTTTATCCCCCTCCCCCAGGCTCTCTGTGGCCGGGGCGCCATCAGAGCTGGGTTGGCATTTGAACTTTTTTTTGTATTTTGTATTTTGTTTTTTTGGAGACAGTCTCACTCTGTCCCCCAGGCTGGAGTGCAGTGGCGCGATCTCGGCTCACTGCAAGCTCCGCCTGTTTACGCCACTCTCCTGCCTCAGCCTCCCGAGTAGCTGGGACCACAGGCGCCCGCCACCTCGCCCGGCTAGCTTTTTGTACTTTTTAGTAGAGACGGGGTTTCACCGTGTTAGCCAGGATGGTCTCCATCTCCTGACCTCGTGATCCGCCCGTCTCGGTCTCCCAAAGTGCTGGGATTACAGGCTTAAGCCACCGCGCCCGGCCTTTTTTTTTGTATTTTTAAAGTACAGACGGGGTTTCGCCATGTTGGCCGGGATGGTCTCGATCTCCTGACCTCGTTATCCGCCTGTCTCGGCCTCCCAAAGTGCTGAGATTACAGACGTGAGCCACCGATCCGGGCCCTTGCACGTATTTTCTTATGAACACACAGGTAGCAGCACTTTGATTACAGTAACTTATATGGAAGTTATTTTAAAATGACTTTCCCCTTCTCTTCCTCATGTAGGCTGTATATTTCATCTGCAGCACGCTTTCTCCCAAGAATCTCAAGCGCACACAGGAAACCAGAGAATAACATCACTGAGGCTTGAACACATCCAGAGACCAAGGGCGTCACTGGCAGAAAAGCTTTTAGGCGAATCCATAGGCCCGAGAGCCACCCCGCCCAGAGACGTGGCTTCCTATGAGCAGTTCACACGCGGCTCTGCAGCACCCACAAGCGGGGCCAGGGGCTGGTTTTCATAGTTCACAGTCTGCAGGGATCTTAGCAAAAATATGGCCGTGGTAAAAGTGCCTAGACCAGGCTCACTGAGTAGGAAGACTAGTTAGGCTGATGAAAAGCTCTGATGAGGTATGTGATTAAAAGTAGGAAAATGTGGTTGCCAGATAAAATATTTTACCATATAGTGAGGGGCAGAATGTGGAAACCATTTATTTTAAATGTTTGTTCCTGCAGTGTTTAAAATATAGGAGATATATTCTGATTATAAAGAAACTGCTCTCGGCCGGGCGCGCTGGCTCACGCCTGTAATCCCAGCACTTTGGGAGGCCGAGACGGGCGGATCACGAGGTCAGGAGATCGAGACCATCCTGGCTAACACAGTGAAACCCCGTCTCTACTAAAAATACACAAAATTAGCTGGGTGCGGTGGTGGGCGCCTGTAGTCCCAGCTACTCGGGAGGCTGAGGCAGAAGGGCGTAAACCCGGGAGGCGGAGCTTGCAGTGAGCTGAGATCCCGCCACTGCACTCCAGCCTGGGCGACAGAGCAAGACTCCGTCTCAAAAAAAAAAAAAAAAAAGTGCTCTCAATCTATTTGTATGTCTTCCCTCTAGTTTTAAAATATTAAACAATCTAACTCAATATTTAATTTTACCTCTAGTCATGTTACTAGGCTGGGATAATAAAAAGGACTGTTGAACTTCACATCTGCCATCTATAACACATTCTTAATGAAGCAGTCTTGCACCAGGGGATTTATCAACTCTGCCAAATTTCCTAAAATTACCAAATGGAGAAAAAAGAGCTGTTCCCGCCTCTCACCAGGCACAACCAGGTACAGTAACTTAGGGTATTTCTTGTGTTCGTGTTTTGCCCTCACCACTGCAAAGACCTGTTCTTGGCTGAAGCCAGGTTGGCCTCAGCCAATGTGAGGGAGCCTTCACTTGACCTTCCCCAGAACCGTGAGCATTTCCACTTCTCCCTTTACTGCACACTGTGTACGTAAACGGACTCATGTTTGCTGGATGTGTATATTTTGTAAACCTAGCTAGCAAAATGTCCACGTTTCTTCACCCCCAAGTCAATTTTTTAACACCTTTCTGATTCATTACTTCCTGTTATTGCAAAGTTCTGAAAAATGATTTTGAAAAAAAGGATTTTAGAATTCAGCTGTTTGATGAAATTATCTTTAAATAAAATCTTACATGAATTTTAACATACAGTGAATGAAATACACTTGTAAAATAGTTTGATTTTACATGACAAATTATATCATAAAGAAAATCTAGCTTCCTACACATTAGCCAGCCTGTTGAAATGTTCTGTTTGATACACGTAGAGAACTTTACAGCCAAAGCAAAGCAGTAAGAAATAATCTCCAAACCTTTCTTCATGTGGGCTGTATACTATGTAACTTTACTTTTGCTTAACTGAACACTTCCATCTGTGAATGTGGCCCCGGGCTACATTTTACTTAGTAGCCCCTATCTCATTGGTAGATGACAGTGACTTGAAGAAGCTGGTGACCATAACACTTCCAAGTATTTCCCTTAAGGATAACATGGCCACTGTAGTTAGCGAGAAGGACACCTTTTTAGGATAAACTTGTCATGAGATACTGAAGAACCGGGTAGTAACAGGAACAATACTTGGCAGTATGATGACACATTGTTTTTACTCTCAAGAGGCCTAAACACCGGTGTTAACACTGCTGCTAGTCTGAGTTACAGCTTAGTCAAGTGTCTGAACCCTTTGCATTTTGTGTTGTAAAGCACTGTCAACAGAGTAATGGCTCACCTACCGGACATTCACTTACAGAAACCAAAAAAATCCTAACAGTGATCAGTGAGAAAACTAAATGGTTTTTTCTTTTTTTTCCCCTCTGGCAGGAAAAATAAATGTAAAAACTCAGCACTTTATTAATATAATACTAACACGGTGAAACCCCATCTCTACTAAAAATACAAAAATTAGCCGGGCGCGGTGGCGGGCGTCTGTAGTCCCAGCCACACGGGAGGCTGAGGCAGGAGAATGGCGTGAACCCGGGAGGCAGAGCTTGCAGTGAGTGGAGATTGCGCCACCGCACTCCAGCCTGGGCGACAGAGCGAGACTCCGTCTCAAAAAAAAAAAAAAAAAAAAAAAAAATTAAGTTCAGTCACTTGATTTTCTAGCCCCAACTCAAGACAGGGGAGGCACACATCAGATGCCTGACAGAGAGACAGAAAAGCCATTTAAAAATGAAAACAAGAAAACACATTAGTTTGAGTCTAATTTAGCATGGGGTAACTCATGGTCTCTTAAGTGTATTACTGCGTTAACTTCCAGCACAATATCTGACTTTCACTGTGATGACTGGAGACAGGATGGGGTCTGAATGCTGGTCTTCAACGCACCATACAACAGTGCCAGACCCTCAACTGTATGAAGGGGAACAGAGCCCTCCTTAAAAGATTTACTGGAGTTAACACCTGGGGATCCTCAAGAAATGAACGCTATCACTGTTCTGCTTCAGAAGGTAGAAATACAGGGAATACACTTTAGATAGGTTAAGATAAAAAGTTTTGTGTTTAAGGCAGTTCAGTTGCCTGAAAAATTCACTTCTGTATAATGCCTAATTTGTTAATGATGCTGTGAGTAGATGCTTTGTAGTAAATATACAAGTTTGTTTTTCTTTTATGAAAAAGTAGAGTAACGTGTCCTCTGACGTTAGGAGTAGGAGCGTTTGAATAAAGGACTTTAAACCAATGAAGCATATAATCCTCTCTATTAGAATGACGAAAAGAGTGGCGGTGTTGTTTGCTTGTACAGTTATCACCTAGGAGTCATATCAAGATTCTAAAATAGTTTGATTTTACATGACAAATTATATCATAAAGAAAATCTAGCTTTATGATTTTCTGTTATAATGGCTGTTCGATTCTTTGAGCTTTTTAAAGCATCACAAATGTATTAATAGCTGTTTATTATCTTAAATACTATGACTTTCAAAAGTTAAACTGAATTTTGATAAGTATTGCAAACAATTTTATATGACTATTACTTAGCTATAGTTTTTTTTTTCCTTTTTTGAGACAGTCTCGCTCTGTCCCCCAGACTGGAGTGCAGTGGTGCAATCTCAGCTCACTGCAAGCTCCGCCTCCCAGGTTCACATCATTCTCCTGCCTCAGCCTCCTGAGTAGCTGGGACTACAAAGGCTCCCGCCACCACACCTGGCTAATTTTTTGTATCTTTAGCAGAGACAGGGTTTCACCGTGTTAGCCAGGATGGTCTCGATCTCCTGACCTCCTCATCTCCCCGCCTCGGCCTCCCAAAGTGTTGGGATTACAGGTGTGAGCCACTATGCCCAGCATATAGTTTTTTTTTAAATATGACTAATATTTAAAGACAGCAGTGACATCATAGAAAACAGCAGGGCAGGAAGCTTCGGGGATTGAATTGATTGGTTCTTCGCCAAAACCACCATTAAGCTGGACAAAAAATTAGCAGAATCAACTGTTTTCTAACTCTGTCACCTCATCAGATGCTTACTGCAACCCGGGAAAGGCCTGATGATGCAGAGGCTGCAGCGTTTTGGTTCAGAGGGTGGTGTGGATGGACAGCCTATGTACCTGCTGCAGCCTGTCCTCAGTGAGGACCCTGTGCATTTTGGTCATATAATGGTGCCCTGAGGGACCAGCGTAGATGCGTTCCTTTGTCTCGACCCCTCAGGCTGCAGCAATTTCCCCAATACCATCTGTCAGAAAATTTAGAGACATACACTTTAAAAACAGAAAAAAAACACGAGGTCAGGAGATCGAGACCATCCTGGCTAACACGGTGAAACCCCATCTCTAGTAAAAAATACAAAAAACTAGCCGGACGAGGTGACGGGAGCCTGTAGTCCCAGCTACTCGGGAGGCTGAGGCAGGAGAATGGTGTGAACCTGGGAGGTGCAGCTTGCAGTGAGCTGAGATCGCACCACTGTGCTCCAGCCTGGGCGACAGAGCGAGACTCCGTCTCAAAAAAAAAAGATCCAGATATTGGGCCAGCCACGGTTACTCATGCCTGTAATCCCAGCACTTTGGGAGGCTGAGGCAAGAGGATCATCAGAGCCCCTGAGTTCAAGACCACCCTGGGTAACATAGTGAGACTGCGTCTCTACAAAAATAAAGTAAATAAATTAGCCAGGCATGGTGGTGCATTCCTGTAGTCCTAGCTACTTGGGAGGCTGAGGCGAGAGGACCCCTTGAGCCAAGGAGTTAGAGGCTGTGGTGAGCTATGATCATGCCCCTGCACTGTAGCCTAGGTGACAGAGACCCCATCTCAAAAAAAAGAAAAGATCCAGACACTTAAGGAAATCTCTGTCAGGTTACAGGCTGACCAGAGAGACAATAAAAAGACCAAGAACCTCAGGAATACAGACTTTGCAAAAATAACTTGGAAAATTCACTACACAAATGAACTGCAGCCCTCAACATGTAACAGAAGCAATCCTTGAGGAAAGGGATACTGTGATTTCCAGAGCTACTGCAGTGTCATATTCAAACTGTACAGTTCTCAACACAAAATTACAAAGCACACAAATAAAATGGAAAATATGGCTGACTTACGGGAAAAAAAGAATATGACAGAAACTGTCCCTGAGGAAGCCCAGATATTAGAATTACTAGTCAAAGATGTTCATCAACTGTATTAATATGCTCACAGGGCTAGCAGAAACCCTGGAAAACGGACTAAAGGAACCAGGAGAGTGATGTATGAACAAACAGAAAATGTGAACAGAGACAGAAATGATAAAAAGGAACCAAATAGAAACTCAGGAACTGAAAAACACAACAGCCGAGATTAAAGCATTCACTGGAAGGATTCAGCAGCAGACTTGAGCAGGCAGAATTAGCAAAGGTGTAAGAGAAGGCAGTTGAACTTATCCAGTTTGAGGAGCACAAGAACAGAACCTATGGGACACCATCAGAAATACCAACACACGCATATAGGAATCCCGACAAGAGAGGAAAAGGGCAAACAAACAAAAACAACAAAAAAAAAACTCTAAAGAAATAATGGCCGGAAAGTGAGGAAGCACATCAAAAGCCAAAATCGGCCAAATGCAAGGCCTCTCGCACCAAACAGTTGGTCAAGTTGTGAATGCAAAGGAAAAGTTATTGAAGGAAATTAAAAGTGCTTCTCCATTAAACACACAAAAGAAAGTGAAACAGCCTTATTGCTGATAGGGAGAAGGTTTGAGTGATCTGGATACAAGACCAAAGGAGACACAACATTGCTGTGAACCAGCCTAATCCAGAGCAAGACCCTAACACTCTTCAATTCTATGAAGGCTGAGAGAGGCGAGAGAGCTGCAAAAGAAGAGGTAGAAACTAGCAGAGATTTTTCATGAGGTTTAAGGACAGAAGCCGTCTCCACAACATAAAAAGTGCAAGACGGAACAGCAATTGCTAATGGAGAAGCCACTAGATGGTCTAGCAAAGATCATTAATGAAGATGGCCACATTAAACAGCAGATAATCAATGCAGACAAAACAGCCTTATATTGGAATATGATTCCATCTAGGACTTTCATAGCTGAAGAGGAGTCGATGCCTTGTTTCAAAGGACAGGCTGACTTGTGAGGGGCTAATGCAGCTGGAGGCTTTACACTAAAGCCAATGCTCATTCACATTTTGAAGAAAATCTGAGAGCTAAGTCTATTCTGCCTGTGCTTTAAAAATAGAAAAAGTTTAGGTGACAGCACCTCTGTTTACAGTATGGTTTACTATTTTAAGCCTACCCTTGAGACCTACTGTTCAGAAAATGATTCCTTTCAAAGCATCACTGCTCATTGACAATCTGACAATGCACCTGGTCACCCATGAGCTCCATGGGAGATGTACAAGACGAATGCTGTTTGCATGCTGCTAACACATCCATCTGCAGCTCACGGATCAAGGAGTCATTTTGAATTTCAAGTCTTATCTTTTAGGAAATACGTTTTGTAAGGCTATAGCTGCCATAGAGTGATTCCTCAGATGGATCTGGGCAAAGAACACAGAAAACTTTCGGGAAAGGATTCACCGTTCTAAATGCCATTAAGAACATTTGTGATTCATGAGGAGTGGTCAAAATGGGAGTTTGGAAGAAGTTGCTTGCAGCATGTGGTGATCTAATAGCAAGATAACTAAAATTAGAAGTGGAGCTGGGCATGGTGGTGTGTGCCGGTAATCCCAGCTACTTGGGAGGCTGAAGTGAGAGGGCTGCTTGAACCCAGGAGTTCGAGATGAACCTGGGCAACACATGAGACCCTGTGTCAAAAAATATACAAATAAATAAAAAAGAAATAAAATCTAAAAATGGAGCCTAAAGATGTGACTGAATTGCTGCAATCTCATGATAAAACTTTAATAGATGAGGAGTTGCTCTCTATGGATAAGCACAGAAAATAGTTTCTTAAAACGGAATCTACCCCTAGTGAAGATACCGAACATTGCTGAAACAACAACAAAGGATTTAGAAGATTCCATAAATTTCGCTGATAAAGCAGCGTCGGGGTTTGAGAGGATTACCTCCAGTTTTGAAAGACGTTCTACTGTAATACGTTGTCAAACAGCATCACATGCTACAGAGAAATCTTTCATCAAAGAGTCAATCAATGCAGCAAACTTCACTGTCTTATTTGAAGAAGTTACCAGTGAATCACCCCAGCCTTCAGCAACCATCATCAGCCATCCACATGGAGGCAAGACCCTCCGTTAGCAGAAAGATTACAACTTGCTGAGGGCTTAAATGTTAAAGGCATTTTTTAAACAATAAAGTGTTCTTTTTTTTATTTTTTGTTTTTAGACGGAGTCTCACTCTGTTGCCCAGGCTGGAGTGCAGTGGTGGGTGTGCTGTCCAGCTCACTGCAATCTCTGCCTCTGGGGTTCAGGTGATTCTCCTGCCTCAGCCCCCCAAGTAGCTGGTATTACATGCACGTGCCACCACGCCCGGCTAATTTCTGTATTTTAGTAGAAACAGGGTTTTGCCATGTTGGCCATGCTGGTCTCGAATTCCTGAAAGTATTTTTAAATTAAGGTATGTACACTGTTTTTTGGACATCATGCTATTATGTACTTAATAGACTACAGTATAAACCTACCTTTTATATGTACTGGGAAACCAAACAATTTGTGAAACTTGTTTTATTGTGATATTTGCTTTATTTTGCCAGTTTGGAACCAAAACTGCAATGTCCCCAAGACATGCCTGTAGGTACACGAGTCCATACTGATAAATGACTGAATAAACAGGAGAGAAGAAACAAATCTTCAAGAAGAATAACATGCACAGATTCTGCTCTCTCCCGGGGTTGGAGCTTAAACCTCCTCAACCCACAGAGTATGGAAAGGGAAAACAGGAACCTGACAGTGGAGAAACCTGGCAGACACCACTGTGACCAGGTGGCCAGGGTGAGCACGAGCACTGCCTGGGGTAGGTGACGTGGTGGTTACAACCACCCAGCAGGATGTGATGAGAAAGGTGCTTGAGAAACATCAGACCAACTCCAATGGAGGGACATTCTTCAGACTGCCCGGCCAGCACTCCTCAGAACTGTCAGGGTCATGAGAAACAAGGGAAGTCTGAGGAACTGTCACAGGCCAGAGACCGCAAAGGAGACGGGATGACTAAATGCAGTGTGTGCCTGGATGGGACTCTGGGACAGAAAGCAGACATTAGGGAAAAACTGAAATCCAAATAAAGGCTGGATTTTAGTTAATGGTGACTACCAATGTTGGTTTCTTAGTCGTGGCAAATGTCCCATGGCGGCGTAAGAGGTTAACAGCGGGGGGACTACGTGAGGGGCACATGGACGCTCTCTGTACTCGCGCTGCCATTTTCCTGTCAATCTAAAATTAGACCAAAATAAAAGTTTATTGGAAAAGACAAATAAAGACATAACAGATGGTTTACCTTCTTTATTCCACTATGTATAACTATTTTGTAGGTTCAGAGAATCAGAACACATCTGTTGCAAAGGTGTGCGATCCAGTCTCTTAAGGCGGGTCTCTGTTCCTAAATGTAGAGATGCAGTTTGGAGTCACGTTAGGAAGTGGGACGTTCTTAAGCCATGGAGAGGATGTGAGAGAATACTAACCTACACCGGGACAGCGGGACCAGGACCACTGACTGGAGTCACGTGCTGTGGTCTGACATAGACGTCTCTAACATCATGTCACTTTCATTCATTTCAATTTCAAAGGTTTCTTCCAAGGAAGGTCTGGAATCTGGAGTTTTCCTTGAGGTTTCCAATGGCGTAAGCCCCGTTTCTTCTGCAGTCTGTTTTTCTACTTCAAATTCCCTGAAATCCCACGGAGGTGAAATAATGTTTTTTAGTGTCTTCATTGTATGCACATCAAAGTCATAACATTTTAATTTGTCTTTAATGTCTGCTCCTACAAAGAAATACTATAATTAGAATAAAATAAGAAATTCCATCATTTAACATTTCTATTGTTATATAACACCATCTCTATCATTTAAGTCAGATTATACTATTTAGAATAAAATATAAAACTCCATCATTTATCATTTCCATCATTATACACCATCTCTATCATTTAAGTCAAATTATACTTTTAAGAGCACAAGTTGAGAGCAGAAGGAAAACAACATTCCAATCTTTTCTTTTTCATTTGTTTTCCACCATTTGCAAAGGAGGTGTCAGGAGACTTTTAGAAGCACAGGCAGTTGCAGCTCCAGGGTTTCAACAGCTGCCCTATTTCCAAGGCCTCCTAAATACGGATGAGGCCTGTGGGCAACTTTTTCCTCTGCTGTTACAGATAAGACCTGCATTGTGTGGCCGTGAGGGGTGGCTCACACCTGTAATCCCAGCACTCTGGGAGGCCGAGGTGGGCAGGGAAATGGAGACCATCCTGGCTAACACGGTGAAATCCCGTCTCTACTAAAAAAAAATACAAAAAAAATAGCCAGGTGTGGTGGTAGGCGCCTGTAATCCCAGCTACTCAGGAGGCTGAGGCAGGAGAACGGAGTGAACCTGGGAGGCGGAGCTTGCAGTGAGCTGAGATCGTGCCACTGCACTCCAGCCTGGCTGACAGAGCTAGATTCCATCGCAAAAAAAAAAAAAAAAGAACTGCTGCGCCCACTGGGTATAGTCACCAATCTTATGCACACAGAAGCCACAATGAAATAAAATTCATTTTCCATATATTAAAACCTTAAGGGTGATATAAATTTGAACAGATCTGAACAGATATATTAGGTACAATCATTCGACATAAACAAAATGAGTTTTACACAGTTCAAACCAATAGCTTTCAGGAATAGGTAGTTTGGCAGATGACATGCAAACCTTCTAGAAATAAAAATGACATGAATGGTAAATCTCTTCTGCAAGGTCAAGGAGACATCCCTCTGACTCATTATCAACTCTCCAGCCTTTATTTAGCTTCCTATGAACTTGCCTTGAACAAATGACGAAACTAAGGCTCAGACTTGCCTTTCTTGCCACAGGGCTGCCGAGGGGCAGAACTGAGGTTTCAACCCAACATCTCTAGGAAACCAGAGTTTACATTTGTTTTTTTAAAACTGAGCTAAAACCAAGAGTCAAGTGTGAATCTCCTTAAGCACACGACTGAATGAACGCTACGTACATGCATCCCACATGACCACCGCCAGAAGGGCACAGAACACGCACAGCTCCTTAAGACCACCCTGTGCCCACTCCTGGTCAATACTGCCAGCTTTCCCAAGCCTGAAATGAGCACTATATGGACTTTTCTATCACTACCAATTAGTTTTGTTCATTACTAATTGATATGGTTTGGATCCGTGGCCCACCAAATCTCAGGTTGAATTGTAATCCTCTATGTTGGAAGGTGGGGCCTGGAGGGAGGTGATTGGATCATGGGGGTGGTTTCTCCTGAATGGTTTAGTGCCATCCTCTTGGTGCTGTTCTCATGACAGTCAGTTCTAGTTGTTTAAAGTCTGTAGCACCTCCTCCGTTTCTCAATCCCTCCTGTTCCAGATATGTGAAGTGGTGGCTCCCCACTTAGCCTTCTGCCATGATTTCAGGTTTCCTGAGGCCTCCCCAGAAGCCAAGCAGATGCCAGCATCATGCTTCCTGGATAGCCTGCAGAACTGTGAGCCAATTACACTTCTTTTCTTATAAACTACCCAGGCTCAGGTATTTCTTTATAGTAACGCGAGAATGGACTAATACACTAATCTTATAAATGGAAGTAATCAGTAGATATTCATATTTTTGTCAAAAATCTGTGAAATTTGCCAGGCGTGGTGGCTCAGGCCTGTAATCCCAGCACTCTGGGAGACCGAGGCAGGCGGATCACCCGAGGTCAGGAATTCAAGACCAGCCTGGCCAACGTGGTGAAACCCCATCTCTACTAAAAATACAAAAACTTAGCTAGGTGGGGTGGCATGCGCCTGTAATCCTAGCTACTTGGGAGGCTGAGGCAAGAGAATTGCGTGAACCCAGAAGGCAGAGGTTGCAGTAAGCTGAGATTGCACAACTGCACTCCAGCCTGGGCGACTGAAACTCCCTTTCAGAAAAAAAAAATAGTAATAATTAAAAATTTTAAAAAATCTGTAAAATTGATCCATGTTTCTAAATGATTCAGTAGTATGAACATGCCACAATTTATTTCTCCTCTCTCCTACTGGTGGACGTTTGAGTCATTTCCAGTTAGGTACTATTATGAATAAAGCTACGAATACTCTTGTTTGTGACCTTTAGTGGACAGAAGCACTTGCTTCCGTTGGGCTCACACCTGGGAGCACAACTGCTACATCACAGAATCAGTATGGTCAATCATCACCCTCATACCCACCCCAATGAATCACACCTCCCAGCACCCTCACCCTGGTACAGCCCCTCCCACAATGACTCTGAACTTATGAGACTTGTACTGATGGAACAGAACGTGATGGAAGTGATGTTGTGCAACTCTGAATTTTCCAGAGGTCCTGAACTTCGGTTCTTGTCCTTTAGAACCCTGAGAACATCATGCTACAAAGAAACCTAAGATGAAAGCCCCAGAGAAAGAGACTTAGCACCCAAGCTGAGCTCCCTACTGGAAAATGATACCATTTTAGACCATCTACCCAGTCAAGTATCTGCTAACCACAGCTGCATGAGTAAACCCGCAAATGGGTCACTCAACCCACAGAATTGTAAAAATAATACATTGTTGGTTGAGGTTTTGGAGTGGTTAGGCAGCAACAGAGAACTGATATAATAGGCTTAGCTTTACTATGATGTTAAACAGTGTTCCAAAAAGGCTTTACCCTTTTATAACCCACTAGTAGTCAATCTACGAGAGTTCCAGTTGCTCCACATCACACCAATACCACATACTGTACTTTTAGCCATTCTGGTGGGTGTGTACTGGTTTCTCACTGTGGTTTTATTCATATTACTTTTTTGAGACAGGGTTTTCACTCTGTTGCTCAGGCTGAAGTGCAGTGGTGTGATCGCTGCAGCTTTGATATCCTGGGCTCCAGTAATCCTCCAGCCTCAGCCCTGAGTAGCTGGCACTAGAGGCACACACCATCACTATGGTTTTAATTTCATTTCCCTGCTAAGTAATGATGTTGAGTGCCTTTATTTGCTTCTTAACTGAGGCAGAATAGGGTCTAAAGACAGAGCGCCTTCACTTCAGCCTCTGATTGGTCACAGTCTTCATTTGCATAGGGAGTAACTTCACTTCAGCCTCTGATTGGCCACAAACCAATCCTTCATTTGTATAGGGTGTAACCAACAGGAAACCCCTAAGGGTACTTAAACCCCAACTGGGGACTTGCTCAAGCCAGCTCCCACTCTGTGGCGTGTACTTTCGCTTCAATACACCTATGCTTTCGTCTTCCACTGCTTTGTGTGTTTTGTTCAATCTTTTTTCACCATGCCAAGAACCTGGATGACTTGTAGTGAAGACCTTCCACACCAGTAACATATTTTGGTGAGCCAGTCAGGAGGTAAGCCCAAATTTTGGGATATATTTTTCTTTTATTTTTCCCTTTTCCTCTCTAGAGAGCCTTCATTTGTGGGCGATAGCTGTATACAGGGGAACTCCCCGCCTCTCTATTTCCCTTTTCCAACTCGGGATCCTCAGTGGGTAACACCTAAGCACAGAGACAACTGCGGGTCTCTGGCTGGGGACACTCTGGTGAAGTGAAAGATTTCCGTGTGGAAGTGCCTGGCCACCACTGCCCAGTTTGGATGAGGGACCCAAGTCCTTTTCTTGTTTTCAGTCTTTCAGTGGCCATTTCCTACCTAATTGCTCCTTGGTAACTGAGGGCAACTGGCTGGGGTTACCTAAATTTCTTGAGGTTCTCCTTGGAGGAATGAGAGAGTAACTAAGGCAGTAAACTATGATAAATTAAGGGAGGTTACACAGGACAAGGAGAAAAATCCAGCCATGTTTCATGGCAGGCTGGAGGAGGACTTTAAAAACATACCAATCTGGACCCTTCCTCTCCCAAAGGCAGTGTTGAGCTCTCTTTTATTCCTAGTATTACTACTTTTGGTATGAACTTTCTTTTTTAGTGATTATGTAGAAGTTTATACATTTTAGTGACTGCTTTAAACAACCTATATTGTATCATTTTCAAGCCCACAGAAATGTATAAGGCATATAATTTTGACACTTTTCAATTATTTTTAAGGTTATAAGCATGTAAAATACCGTTTATATATAAGAATATGCATAACTACCAATATATAGCTTTTTTTTTTTTTTTTGAGATGGGCTCTGTCACCCAGGCTGGAGTACAGTGGTGCAATCTTGGCTCACTGCAACCTCTGCCTCCCGGGTTCAAGTGATTCTCCTGCCTCAGCCTCCCGAGTAGCTGAGACTACACACGTGTGCCAGTATGCCTGGCTAGTTTTGTTTTTTGTTTTTCTTTTTTTAGTAGGGGCAGGGTTTCACCATGTTGGCCAGGTAAGTCTTGACCTCCTGACCTCTGCCTGCCTTGGCCTCCCAAAGTGCTGGGATTACAGGCGTGAGCCACCACGCCCGGCCTAGATAGCTTCTTTTGAGAGATATTCTCTAAATTGTCATCCAGAGTAGATTCACTACAGTTTATTAGGTGTTTCTCAATACATAGCCTGAATGTTCTAAAGTACACAGAAATCTGAATACTGTTTAACCTCCTACATTCCTTTGTTTATAGATTAATATTTCGAAGGATTAAAGACATCACAGCCCCCTATAAGATTCAGTAATATTAATAAAATTTGAGACATATAAGGATAGAACCCAACACATTCAGAGAAAAATTGTTTATACTGCTGTAGAGCCGGAAATGAAACCCAGGTTCTAAGGGGACAGGGAAACTGTTTGCTAAGTGTGCCATGAGCTACCGCACAAGTGCATCAGTGACTGGGCATAGAGCAGGCACAATTACAGGATGGTTAAGAGAGAGAGCTGTGGAGCTTAACTCTATGTGAACATGCATTTTTAAACTGTGATGTGCTTCAGTTTATCCTACTTTACAATGGGTATTACTCATTTTTTTGTTCTTCTCAGTTGACTGGATTATTTCCCCAGTCTGTCTTCTTGCCACTCTGGATGCCCACATGAGAGGACCCAGGGTAATTTCTGACAGCCTCAGACTCCTTGGGAAAACCAGAGGGCACCACAGACCCCATTTTAGGAGAAACCTCTGTTTCACTCAGGGAACCCCAAGACACATAAGCAGACAGGTCCTTCTCAAAATCTAAGGCTCTGCTCTGTTTTCTATCACATTACCTGATCTTTTTGACTTTTGGGGAAATTACATCAGACATTACTTTAGTGGGGCCCGGGCACAGTGGCTCATGCCTGTTATCCCAACACTTTGAGAGGCTGAAGCAGGCGGATCACCTGAGGTCAGGAGTTCAAGACCAGTCTGGCCTGAACATGGAGAAGACCAGTCTCTACTAAAAATACAAAATTAGCCAGGCATGGTGGCACATGCCTGTAATCCCAGCTACTCAGGAGGCTGAGGCGGGAGAATCGCTTGAACCCGGGAGGCAGGGGTCGTGGTGAGCCGCGATCGTGCCATTGCACCCCAGCCTGGGCAACAGAGTGAAACTCCTTCTCAAAAAAAAAAAAAAAAAAAAAAAAGAAAGAAATTACTTTAGTAGGAATGGGAGTTAGCAGGCTTGCAACTTTCCTATCCTAGATCTCAAGATTTAACCTCACCACATCCTCCTTATCATGTAATGTTTATAACTAAACGAGTGCCCAAGTACAGCAATTCCATCCAAACTTATATTATTACTTATTCACTGTTATGGAAATGTATGGCATCTCAACATTCTATTGAAATGTAAAGATTTATATTGTTATACCCTGCATTTAAAATAATGACAGAGCCCCTTCGATTGTGTATTAGAAAAATGTTGCTAAGATTTCTTTTTCCATTATAGAAACAGACGGGTCCTTCTATTAAAGTGCTTTACACTTACTCTATAGCGGTATTTTCCACAAGCAAGTATTCAACTTTAAACTGAATGTATCCTCGGTGAGTCACTAACTCCCCACAGCATTGTTCCAATAAAATAAATGGAGTTTCTTGTTTTCAATGCAGCACGAATGGTTAGAAAGATAAAATTGGAACCTCAATGAGAATATGAGAAACATAAACAGAGACATATAACAACCTAAAAAATGGAGTACAATACCAATAAGAATAATGATCATCTTACCGATATAAGCTTCGGAATCACCAATGTACATTTCGATGCAATGACCAAGCATTGTAACAGAAAATGTATCATCTCGCCTAAGACCAAGGGCCTGCCATAAAAGATTCAGCATGTTATTAAAAGAAAATGTATTTCCTTCTCTTTTGTTTAGAAATATTACCACACTGATGCATTTCAAAATATTCCAGAGCATCCAGGGTGGGGGAAGCGGCACTGTTAGTGGGGCCAGAGCTACACGAGCCGATGGCTGGCCATGAGCCGATGACTGTTGAAGTTGGTTATGGGTCATGGAGGTTCATCACACTATTCTATTTTCTTATGCTGGAAACCTACACCAAAAAAGGTTTTTTAAAAAGTTCTATCTCGACTGGACACAGTGGCTCATGCCTGTAATCGCGGCACTTTGGGAGGCCTAGGCGGGTGGATCACCTGGGGTCAGGAGTTCCAGACCAGCCTGGCCAACATGGTGAAACCCCGTCTCTAATAAAAAATACAAAAATTAGCCGGGCGTGGTGGCAGGTGCCTGTAATCCCAGCTACTTGGGAGGCTGAGGCAGGAAAAGTGCTGGGAGGTGGAGGCTGCAGTGAGCCAAGATCGCACCACTGCACTCTAGCCTGGGCAACAAAGTAAAATTTTATCTCAAAAGAAAAAAAAAGTTCTATCTCCATATAGAGTTCTCTGAGCCTTCTGTATTTGTTTGTTTGTTTGTTTGTTTTCAGACACAGTCTTGCTCTGTCGCCAGGCTGGGGTGCAGTGGCGTGATCTCGGCTCACTGCAACCTCCACCTCCTGGGTTCAAGCAAATCTCCTGCCTCAGCCTGAGACTGAGGCACAGGGCTAGTAGCTGGGACTACAGGCACGTGCCCAGCTGATTTTTGTATTTTTAGTAGAGACGGGGTTTCACTATATTGGTCAGGATGGTCTTGATCTTTTGACCTCGTGATCTGCCCGCCTCAGCCTCCCAAAGTGCTGGTATTACAGGCGTGAGCCAACATGCCCAGCCGAGCCTTCCGTATTAATCAGATCTGAGAAGAAAGGTAAATTATACAACACTCAAATATACATATTTAAAAGATTATACAGGACTAGAAAATGTGCTTAGTCCAAACTTCTGACGAGCTCAGTGCTCTGGTGACCATCATGGTACCTTCACGACTTCATCTAACCTCAAAATCTCTAATGAACTCCTGAAAATCAGTTACAAACCGCTCATGAGTTTATCTTTGATAAATTTTCTCATATTTTATCTCTTTTTCCAAATAGCATTAGTTCACTGATTCTAAGACCCACATTTTCTCAAATTCGAACACTGCTTCCCTTTTACCTGTGGTTTCCTATTACTGCCATCAACCAGCCACCGCTGTGATGTGGGTAAAACCTGCCTGAGTAGCACGGACTTGGTGGTTATGTTGGCAGCACAGACTAGATCACAAACCATGTGAGGAAACTTCAACAGATACGGGGACTGTGGTTTTCTAAAAACCCTCCATTGACACTTCAGCAGACTGAGAGGGATGAGAGAGAGAGCTGGAAAGCAGGTGTCTGTGGCTGGGAGGAAACCCAGAGTCAGGAACTGGGTATGTGTGCTAGCATCAGGGCACTATTCTGGGAAAACACAGATACTGGCCCTCTGGGTTGAATATTGCAACCATTTATTTCACTTACATGTACATTTCTAGGTATGTACTAGAGTAATACAAATCTGCCTAAATATGTTCAAGAATATTTTCTCTAAATACAAAAAAATTAAGTGACAGGAAAAAATTATGTTAAAGTTTAATTGGCAGCACTTTTTTCTTTATGGTCATCCCGCTTACTCATGGTCTTAAATTTGATGGAATATGGTACATGGATTAAGGAAAGGTTCTTTCCTTGTGATGACTGCACAGACTGTTTTGTTCATCTACTAAAGTGATCTAAGCGGATTAATTGTAAAAGTCATCAACAGAAAGACTGGGAGTTCCCAAAGGGCCTCCGTGGACAGTAACACTGTGCTCAGCACTCAGATCACTGGCAAGTGCTGCTGGGCACCTGCGCACTTCCCTGCAAACACTGAGGACAGGACTTATGTTTATTTCTAATTTGATGAATACTGTACAACGCCTACATGCTTCACTCTGCAAAGAAAAGAATAAAACGTAAGGTTGCCTAAAGATTATTAAAATAGTAAGTAAAATATTACCTAGAAAAAATATTTCAAAAAAGGAAGTGGTCAATGTTAACCAGATTTAAAATCAGGTACAAAGACAAGACATACTGTGTGGAAGTAGTCCACAGCATTTTCAAAGTTGCCCATCAGACTGTGGATATATCCAATAGCAGAGTAGGTGGATGCGTTCTGAGGAATCAACACCAGTGCCTGGCGGTGGTAATCCAAGGCCTCGGCGTACTTTCTGTGGGGGAGAACACAATCACTGGCCACAGTAAAAGCACTAAATCCCTAAGTCTAAGATGAGTCCATCCATATCAACACCTAAGAAACACTATCTCGATAAAAATAGCAGTCTAGACTGGTGAACGTCCTCCACACCTACTCTCACGCATCTCAATATGCCCTCTAAATGCATCTTCCAGGCCTGCTCCCTCCTCCGGCCAAGGGCACTCCTGCAGGGATGTCTGCTGTATTCCTTCTGATGTCTAGTGGGACACTGCAACCAGAACCCCAGTCCTGCCTCCTGGCTGTGTCCTTCCCACACACGCCCCTTAGGTGACAGTCGGCGCCCCCTATCGGGGTAAACAAAAGCAGCCGAGGTGTATTGCTTTAAGGTCCAAAAGATTTACTTAGAAAAGTGCTCCCCAAAGTTCTCTGGAATACTTGACTTGTAAAGTCTTTTGTGAAAAAAATGTTTTATCCTCAATTAAACTTTGGAAAATACCATAAGCCTGTAATACATAGTAAAGACTCAAAGAAATCCTGTAATAGAAACACTTGTTAAATCTTGAGTAACCTAAAATTGCCCAGACTTATTTAACCAAAAAAACCATTTTTCAACTGTTGCCTGTTTATCACACCACAAAACCTCTAGCAGAAAACAGTGAGAATATGGATAGGATTTTAATTATATCTTACTGTCCTAATTCTTCTGAATTAATTTTGAACACTAAATTTTCATATGAAAAAGTAAAAATCTCAATGTTTCTAAAATAAAATTACACCACAGAGATAAATAATAAAAACTGATTTTGATGCTAATTATACCTGAGCAGCCAAGTACAAGAAAGCTGGTGGATCTCATGAAATAAAAATATGACAAAGTATTCAAAATTAAGTAAACTTTGAGTCACAAAGTATATTTCTGAAAATGCTCTACTTCACTTACTTAAGTTTTCTGCAGACATGCCCCAAGTTGTTCAACAAAGGTTCCCATTTGTCAACTGTTACCTAAAACATAGCAACATCAAGCCCACGAGTTATATATGTCACGGTTCAGCCTGATTTGTTTGCACTGAATTATTTCACGCCTTGCAAGCTGGGCTCTCTCCCAGTGTGTGCCTCCAGCACGCCACAAGGCCAGGGTAACTGCTGGTTTATCTATCTCCCTTTCTTCCCTACTAGGAGACTTCTGAGGACTCTGTTATCATTAGGACAAGTTTATCCAAGAGCCTATCCCTGCTGGAGTTCAAATGAGTATCTGCAGCTCGGAGCTTTCCCTCAAACACCAGACCTCTCCATCCATCTGCCTGCTAAGTACTTCTGCTTGGAACTGTTACAAGCACTTTAGGTTCGGTGTGCTACGCACCACACCCGTCTCTCCCTGGCCATCCCAGCCCCTGACCTAACTGCTTCTGAGTGCCCCTCCAGTCAGTGAATGGTACCCCCATCCCCTCTGACCCTTCCACGAAGCACACCAGGGCTGGTTCCTTCTAATTGCTAGGCATAACTCCAACCTATTTAATCCTCACCTTCCTCATTAACAGAGTCAAATCTGGGCCCCAATCATCAAAGTCTGACCAGATTGTTTCCTTCTTAAATCCCTTTTGTTTTCCCACTCTCCTCAGGATAAGGTACAAACTCTTTCATTCTGGGCCCTTAGTGACCCACACTTAACCCTCTTGACCCACTCCTTAACATTCTCCGTGAACTCAAAATCCAAGTCATATTGAATTAGCTCCAATTTTTGCAAATACTGAAATACCCTTGCCCTAATTTTTGCCTGGCTCATGTGTGATGACTTTCAGGACTGAGGTGTATGCAAAAGGCTCATTTCTGGGTGAACTGCCTTTCTCTGTGGGCACCTTTAGTTCCTCAATTGTACCGTATTTCACCATCAATTTACTTATTTACATTCCCCAGCTGATCTGAGGTCAGGAAATAGTAAACTCATTGCCCGTTGCATCCCAACGCCTAGCTCAGAGCCTATGACTCATTAAATATATATCAACTAAATGAATGAACAGACCTGAGCCACAGATTCTCTATCTCTATTGAGACCAGTTCTAGGAGGCACAGCCCATGTGAATGAAAAACAAATCATTTAATGACTCTTAGGCATGACTATTTCTCTTTATTTTAACATTTTCTGCAGTTTCTAATAAAGTCAATATCTTCCCCCTCTTCCTATAGCTTTTTAATGGGCATTTTGACATTTCAATAGTATTGTGCTTTCATACTTCAAACCATTAAATTTCTGTAAGACTCTAAATTTACTGCCTCTTAATTATCAAAGAATACAGGTTCAGTTGAACCTAAAGTATGGTTTAGGAAAGTGCTTCTCAAACTTTTCTGTGCGTGATAATCCCCTGGGGATCTTGCTAAAACTGCAGATTTTGATTCATTTGGTGTGAGATTCTGCACTTCTGGCAGGCTTCTAGGCGATGCTGATGCTGCTAAGCCCGTCTGAAAACTGACAAGGTGGCAAGTGCCAATCCCCTATTAACAAAACACTTGGATTATCCAGAACTAACCACGACTATGTGGCAGAGGCACCTGCTTTATATACATGCATGGGCAAACACAGGAATAGTGTTTATAAGTTCAGATAACATGAGAGACCAAAGTAAACAAAGCTGTGTCTATGGGGACAGGCAGATCGCTAGGCAGGAAGGCAAAGCTGTGTCTGTAACAGCAGAGAGAGCTAACAGCCAAGGGAGAAGAAAACTGTGGGCAGGTGTGCACAAACAGGAACAGAAACAGGAACAGCAGGAAGCTGAGAAGTGAAAATCAGAATAGAATGAAACAAAACAGGCACGGATGAAACAGAAGAGCATCATGCAAATCTCTTATGCAAGTTTATGGTATCTAAAACTGTTACTACTTTTAAGTCATATCAGTATATGCACATCCTTGATAACTGTTAGGTTAACTCATAAGCACCAATTCATGGGGTACATCGTTCATGCAACAGAAGCAGTCAAATATTTTAAAACGGAAAGGCCCAAATACACACTCAGTATGCAATAACAGCAACAAAAGGTGTGAATTTCAGTAATACCTATCCCACCCCTATTCTTTCAGAAGTGGGACCTGCCGCTACACTTTATTTACCCTTCAGTCAAAGAAGCTCTCTGAAGTCCTAGAGGAGGAATGTTACATCAGACGCTACAGTGCCCAATAGCTTCCGCGAGCCAACTATTCCTAGCTTCAAATAATCATCCAATCTGTTCTGATGCCTCTCACATTTCAAAGCTAGAGCCCATTTAAGAAGCAAACGCCCAACATTTGCCCTCTTAATTAGGAAAAAAACCTCATTTCTTACCACATGGTAGAACAGTTAACTGACAATGCAAACATTAACAGCTGCTTGTTATGAAAATATCAGCTTATTATCTTTGAAGGCAATGAGATTTCCTCATTTAACAGTGAATACTCAGGGGTGTGTATGTGTGTATTTACAGATACAACAAAGAATACCTCGTTCCCAATTGCTTTAATTTTTTCCAAAGCATCAAGAAACCATTTTTCGGCTGTTTTCCATCTAAAATGAATGGAAAAAAGGTTGCAGATTATTCAAAATTACCAAATATAAACTTTTAAAAAACTTTTGATTATCTTTCTAGTAGTACTAAAATGCAATGGGGTAAAATGCTGGAAATAATTATAAAAATTCAAAGTTAAGTCACAAATGATTAATTTTATGGCATTAATATCAAGAGTTCAAGATTTCAAGATTTTGGGAGATGTAGTATATATATATATATATATATATATATGTATTTTTTAAGAGTCTCACTCTGTCACCTAGGCTGGAGTGCAGTGGTGCGATCTCAGCTCACTGTAACCTCTGCCTCCTGGGTTCAAGTGATTCTTGTGCCTCAGCCTCCTGACACAGCTGGGACTACAGGCATACAACACCATGCCCAGCTAATTTCTGTATTTTTAGTAGAGACAGTTTCGCCATGTTGCACATGCTGGTCGGTCTCAAACTCCTGGCCTCAAGCAACATGCCCGTCTCAGCCTTCCAAAGTGCTGGGATTACAGGTGTGAGCCACTGCACCCAACCACTGTAGTTATGTTCTATAAAGTCACTGTGCACACTGAGTTAGCAAATATTGAACCGCGGCTCCCAGGGGAAATACAGTTAGATTCCCGCAACTCTCTGGTAACATTTTCTCTAATCGATCAATGTGTAACCTTGTTTTATGTGTGTTTCTGTTTAAAGACGTCTTATTTGATACATACTGTTGATTCATCAGTATTGAAGTCAGGGCCAGCAGCACTGTAACTGATGCCTGCCTGAATGAGGCTTCTCTAACACGTCTTTCCTCTGTCAGATACATCACGATTAACACTAGACAGCATTTCACTAAGCTTGGGGATTATTTCAAAACAGTGAAATTAGCAACAAAAAGCACAAAAATGTGAAAACTGTGGCACTAAATAGACCACAAAAAGTACACTGGTTTATAGTTGAACTGAGAAAAAAGGCAGAGCGTTGCCTTCTTAGACTCCAGCTGGAAATGTGTGTGCCAGGAGACCCAGCTTTCTCCCAGCCGTGGGCATGTCTGCCAATGGCTAGGAAAGCACCTCAGGAACTGATTTGGGGGTTACAAATAAATTTTAGTGAGTAGGCAAATTTGCAAATACTGATGATTACTGTATTATATTAAAAGATTACTATTTTAAAGCTTCAAGCTTTAAAAAAATACCTAGATAACCCATTTTTTATAACACATACATGCCATAAATGACACTGCAGTAGTATTAATACTAATTTACGGCCGGGCGCGGTGGCTCATGCCTGTAATCCCAGCACTTTGGGAGGCTGAGGCAGGCGGATCACAAAGTCAGGAGTTTGAGACCAGCCTGACCAACATGGTGAAACCCCGTCTCTACTAAAAATACAAAAATCAACCGGGCGTGGTGACAGGCACCTGTAATCCCAGCTACTCAGGAAGCTGAGGCAGGAGAATCGCTTGAACCCGGGAGACAGAGATGCAGTGAGCTGAGATTGCGCCATTGCACTCTAGCCTGAGTGACAGAGCGAGACTACATCTCAAAACAAAAACAAAAAACAAAAAAAACTAAAACTAATTTACCATTTTAAAATTTGTATATCATGAAATGCAAAGGATTACAGACATTTTTCTCTTTGAGTGTAACACCAAATCACTTATTCCACAGATATCCTAAGGTACAGTAAAGCCTCCACGGACCAGGAAACTCAGAGATTGGGTCATTCTAATTACTTAAATTTTCTGACTTACTAGTAACTAAATAGAAAACACTTTTGTTTCAAAAACCATGTCAAATGTTTCTCAAATACATAAATTCAACTCCTTATCAACATAGAGATAACTAAGGGTTCCACAGTGCCCCCAGCCACACTGTGGGGTCTGTGTGATCTGAATTGTCCAATCATGTAAGAAAACAAGTGGTAGCTTAGGTCAAAAAAGACCAAAACCTGGGTTTAGAATTTTTAAGGAAATCCAAGATAACAGTTTCTCTCTTTTTTCTATCTCCTTCTCCTAAAATAGAACACTTAACAGTACAAATCTACTGAAGAGTCACTTTGGTCAGTTAACTCTAGTAACCGTCTCCTCTATTTACAATCACTAGTTAACAGAAGGGTTTCTAGTCTTCCAGTACTTACTCTCCATTCTGAAATGCAACCACGCCGACCTCATGCATAACAAAAGGGTCTTCCGGTGCAATGCTCAGAGCTTGGCTGAAGAATCTTTCAGCTAGTTTTGAGTTATTGGTCAAACCATATTCTAATCCAATATACAGCATAGGCAAATGACACCTAAAAAATTGGAAAATTTCACATGTTCAACACCAAAAACTGTGATTTAGCAGAAATTAATCTGTCAACTCCAAATCCTATCTGCAAAATAATTTAAAGGTAGCCAAAACACAGCATTTACTTTTTTCTAACTCTTAATTTACAAATATTTAATGAATGCCTAATGGACTTTGGACTAATCAGCTGCCACTTCTAGAATCTATCTGCAACGTATTTACCTTTAATTTTCATTTTATTCCACAGTAAAAAAACAAAAACTCTCTAAAGCAAAAGGGCATGTCTCTGTGGTGCTGTCTTCCTCCTTGATGCGAATGTCACGCCACAGCCCACACTGGTCTTCCTCTGATTTGTTCACACCATTTATCCTTCAAGACTGTGTTCAAGGTCTACTTCCCTTTACGAAGCTACCTCTGACTTTTCTAACATAAATGCTCTCCCTTCTGTGAATTCCCATGATAATCAGTTCTATGCAGAGGAGTTATGAAGAATGCTCTGTATATTGATTCCATTTCCCACCTTCTGAGACAGTTCTAGGCAGAGTCAGAACTACTTTTTAATTTTCATCTGTTCACACGACTGGATCAGCAATCGCATTAAAGCAAGTATAATAAGACAATCTTTCTTTGATGATGATCTCAGAACATCAATAAATACTGATTGCTTGGTATGTGCTTTGGTTCTAATCGAGAGCCATAACTCAAATTAAGATTATAAATTCTTTAAAAGTGTTTACAACTAACCTCTTGGAAGTACTTTCAAAATGGCAGCGTCAGGACCTCCAAAAATCTATTCATCCATAGAAGCAACAAGAACACTGGCAAAAATTATCAAAACCAACTTTTTCAGAACTTTGGAAGGTAATCAAGCTCTTAAAACAATCTGAGGAGTGTATATTCAAGAAAAATGGCTAAATCTCAGTAAGAACAACAAACTTTGTGCTGCTTTAATTTGTCTTACTCCCATCTCCTTTTCCCTAGCTTTGCATTAACCTTGAAAACAAGCAGCCTCATAACCACAGTAGTTGTAAAGCCATTAGCCTGGCAGCCACTGGAGAAAGCAGAATTAATTTAGAGTTCCTCAAACACCCCACAGCGAACTGCTGCTATTTGACCTGTCTGGTAGCTCCTGAAAGAGCCCCACTCATAGCTTGTCTTCTACTAACCTCTGAGCCCACTCAGTGAGAAAAGCTCTATCCCCAGGGGATTTGTTGGAAACAATCAACAGCAATTATTTAGCATAGGCTGCCGCCTCAGGCAGCTATCCCAGTCAGGACAAACTGGATGCAGGCCACAAACTTAAAAGGAAACCTGGGGAATAAGATGTTCACAGGGGGCTATAAAGAGCTCTGACACATTCCTGGGGATTGGGAAGGCCATACACATGCATAGGGCTATATGCATGCACAGAAAAGGCCTGAGAAAGCCCTATTATCTCATCTCTGGCTGATCTTGAGGCTCTGTGCTAGAATGAAGTGAAGGCTAAGGCTGAGCTGTCAACAATGCTGAGTGTTGAAGGTGTGCAGAGTCCTTCTGCAAAGGGTGGAAGACTTACTGGTTTAAGATATCAAAGCTGCTAGTTAACTGAGCAGAGGCTTCAGTGGCTTCATACAACAAAGTATATAAACTAGAGAATTAGTTCTGGAAAGTCACTAAACAAACAGTGACAATGACCAATAAATCCTGGGGCTGTGTGGGAAAATCTCATTTCCTGAACTGCCCCATTATATGACTTTACATATCTACTTTCAACAAAAAAAGGACATGCAAAGAAACAGGAAACTATGGCCCATACACATGAAAAAAGCAGTCAATAGAAACTATTCTGGGAAAAGCCCAGATGTTGGACTAACAAGACAAATAGCTTAAATAAGCCATGTTAAATTCTAAAGAACTAAAAGAAATTATGTCCACAAAACTAAATTATGAGAACAGTGTCTCACCAGAAAACACCAGTAAAGATACAGAAATTATAAAAATTAAGCAAATAGCAAATCTGGAGTTACAAAGTACAAAAATTGAAATAAAAAATTCATTAGAAGGGATTAAGAGCAGACATGAATAGGCAGAAGTAAGAATTATTGAACTTAAAGATGTCAACTGAGATTGTCCCATCTGAGAAACAGAAAAAGAAGAAAAATGAACAGAACCACAGAGGCTTGTGACACACTATCAGGTATACCAACACGCGTCTAACAGGAGTCCCAGAAGACAGAAGAAAGGAGCAGAAAGAATATTGAAGAAAATAACAGCCAGAAGATTTCCAAGAAGCTTTAAGAACTCCAAGAAGACGGCCGGGCGTGGTGGCTCAAGCCTGTAATCCCAGCACTTTGGGAGGCCGAGACGGGTGGATCATGAGGTCAGGAGATCGAGACCATCCTGGCTAACACGGTGAAACCCCGTCTCTACTAAAAAATACAAAAAAAAAAAAAACTAGCCGGGCGAGGTGGCGGGCGCCTGTAGTCCCAGCTACTCGGGAGGCTGAGGCGGGAGAATGGCGTGAACCCGGGAGGCGGAGCTTGCAGTGAGCCAAGATCCGGTCACTGCACTCCAGCCCGGGCGACAGAGCAAGACTCCGTCTCAAAAAAAAAAAAAAAAAAAAAAAAAAAAAGAACTCCAAGAAGAATAAACTCAAAGAGATTCACACCTAGACAAATAATAGTCAAACCACTGAAAAAGATGAAAAAAAGAATGTTTAAAGCAGTTACAGAAAATCATTAATTACATACAAGGGCAATTTCAGTAAGATCAACTGCTGACTTCTCACCAAGTATCATGGAGGCCAGAAAGCAGCTGATGACATTCAAAGTACTGAAAGAAAGCTGACCAAGAATTCTACATCCAGCAACATTATCTGTTGAAAATTAAGACATTCCCGGGGGGGGGAAATGAGAAAATTTATTGCAAATCGCCTTATAGAAAACACACAAAAAAGCTCTACAAGCTGAAAGTACCCCAGACAGTAACTGAAATCCACAAGAAAAAGTAAGAGTACTAGTAAAGATAATTATGTAATTACAAATGACAATTTAACAGGTATTTCTTTTTTCTCTTGATTTAAACAGCAATTGTAGGCTGGGTGCAGTGGCTCACGCCTATAATCCCAGCACTCTGAGAGGTCAAGGTGAAAGGAATGCTTGAGCCCAGGAGTTGAAGACGAGCCTGGCACACAGTGAGACCCCATCTCTAAAAAGTAACAAAAAAGTAGCCAAGCATGGTGGTATGGGCTTGTAGTCCCAGACACTTGAGAGGCTGAGGCAGAAGGATCCCTTGAGCCCAGGAGTTTGAGAATGCAGTGAGCTGTGATGGTGCCACTGCACTCTAGCCTGGGCAAGAGAGTGAGACTCTATGTACAGGTTGAGTATTCTTTAGCTTGAGACCAGAAGTGTTTTGGATTTCTGATTTTTTTTTTTAATTTGGGAATTTATGCATCACTAGTCTGAAAATCCAAAATGTTCCAGTGAGCAATTCCTTTTGAGTGTCATGCCACTGCTCAAAAAGTTTTGGCTTCTGGAACATTTTGAACTTTAGATTTTCTCATTAGGGATACTCAATATGGAATTATATTGTTGGGCCTATCACATACAGAAATGTAAGGTTTACTAATAACAGCATAATAGGAAGCGGGTGACAGCAAAGCTGTATTACAGTAAGAAAGTAACACTGGATGGTAACTTGAACCCATAGGAACAAATACAAAGAACTAAAAATGGTAAATAACAGGGTTAATATAACAAATGATATAAATTACACACTTCTCACAGCTTCTTTGAAAAACAAAATTACATAAATAATAACAATGTATAACTGAGAAAATCTGTCATTAGTACATCTGCCCAGTAAGAAATACTAAAGGGAGTCCTTTATGCTAAAATAGAAGGATGCTACATAGGAATTCAAATCCACATTGTTGAAGAAGAGTCGAAGTGCTGGCTTCCAGGTTACAGGTAGATTTAAGATTTTTCTGATTGGCAACTGGTTGAAAGAGTTGTTATCAACAGTAAGCAATATCTGGGTTGTAAGAGGTTGCAGAGACCAAATTTTATCATACAGATGAAGCCTCCAGGTAGCAGGCTTCAGAGAGGATAGATGGTGAGTGTTTCTTCTTATCAGACTGAAGGTCCATTAACATCCATGTTGATGTTAACGCTGTAGGGTGTAAAGAGGCGTGTTGGACCCCCACTTCCCATCATGGCCTGAACCAGTCTTTCAGGTTAAATTTAGAGGGCCCTGGCCTAGAGAAGGAAGCCCATTTAGATAGTTGGGGAGGGTCTTCAAATTTTATTTTTGGTTTCCAACATGAAGAAATGAGAGTCTAATAAAAATAGCTATATTGGTAATTATGAGACAGTATAAAATGTGTTTTTGTTTTTAACTCTTCTATCTGATTTAAAAGACAACTAATAAATAATAATCACAGATCTGTGCTGATGGACTTATAATATGGAAAATGTATTCTGTATGACAATGACAGCATAAGGAGGCAAGAGGAAACAGAGCGATATTGGAGTAAGGTTTTGGTATACTATTAACATTAAATTGGTATTAATTCAAAGTAGGTCGTTTTAAATTAAGGTGCTAATTATAACCCTAAAGATAACCAACCTAAGAAAATTACTAAAAAAACATAGTATAATAAAAAAAGGGATTAAAATGGGACATTATAAAATATTTACTCAACAAAAAAGAAGGCAGTAATGAAAAATACAGGAACAAAAGATGTGATGTATAGACAATAAAGAACAAAACGCCAGACATAAATTCTATCTTGTTAGTAACTAAACATAAATGGGATAAACAGTCCAAAGGCAGCAACTGGCAGAACAGATTTAAAAACTTGATTTAACTATATGTTGTCAACAAGAGACATGCTTTAGATTCAAAACACAAGTTGGAATTAAAAGATGACAAAAACCACACCATATAAACAGTAACGAAAGAGAGCTGGTGTGCCTACAGTAACATCAGATGAAACAGACTTTATCAAAAAGTATTATTAGAGATAATTAGTGATATTTTATGATAAAAGGCTCAATCCATCAAGAAAATATGACAATTATATACACACCTAACAACAGAGACTAAGAATATATGAAGTGGAATATACCAGAATTGGAGGGAGAAATAGAAAATTCAACAATAAAATTTGAAGACTTTAATACCTCACTTGCAATAATGCGGAGAATCGATAAGCAGAAGATCAATGACGAAATAGCAGGCTTCAACAACACTATGAAAAGTAGATATAACAGGTATCTATGGAACACGCCACCCAACAAGAGCAGAATTCTCAAATACATCTCCAACGATCTCCAGAATGGCTCATAAAAAAGCCTCAATAATATTTTTCTTTTTTCTTTTTTTTTTAAGATGGAGTCTCGCTCTGTCGCCCAGCCTGGAGCGCAGTGGTGCAATCTCAGCTCACTGGAACCTCCGCCTCCAGGTTCAAGTGCTTCTCCTATCTCAGCCTCCCGAGTAGCTGGGACTACAGGCGTGAGCCACCACACCTGGCTAATTTTTGTATTTTTAGTAGAGAAGGAGTTTCACCATATTGGCCAGGCTGGTCTTGAACTCCTGACCTCAAGTGATCCACACCCCCCTGGGCCTCCCAAAGTGCTGGGATTACAGGTGTGAGCCACTGTGCCTGGCCAACCTCAATAAATTTAAAAGGACTAAAATGACACAAAGTATGTTCTCCAACTATAATGGAATTAAGATAAAAAACAACAAAAGAAGAAAATTTGGGAAATTTATAAGTATGTGGAAGTTAAATGTCAACATATTCTTAAATAACCAATGACTCAAAAAAACAATCATAAAGGAAACGTAAAAATATTCATCCAATTTCAAGAATTTATCCAAACACAGACAAGAAAGTGCAGGCTGCTCTGACAGATAAGTAAGCTTGAAAGAAAAATAATGCTTATCTTGATGAGTTATCATGAGGTTTTTGAGACGGTGTCTCAACTGGTCACCCAGGCTTGATTGTGGTGGCAAAGTGACCATCCTGCCTCAGTTTCCCACATAGTTGGGATTACAGGCAGGCACCATCAAACCCAGCTAATTTTTAAATTTTTTTGAAACGGTAAGGTTTCACTATGCTGCCAGGGCTGGTATCAAACTCCTGGCCTCAAGTAATCCTCCCACCTCAGCCTCCCAAAGTGGTGGGATTACAGGTGTGAGCTACCACCCCTAGCTTAATGGAGAATCTAATGACAAAGTTTGTTAGATTTGGAAACACTGAAGGTATAGTGTCATTAATTATCACTGATTCTGATTCCCAGCTAGGAACTAACAAATGACTATTCTGTTTCTGGGCACCCAAAACGTCAAATCAAAATTACCAGACTGCAGCATGTGCCCATAAAAACCAACTCAGTGAATTCTTGAGATTTTTTTTTTTTGGTAACAAATTATCAGATTGATGCATACGGGAAATATGCAGATACTGGTGTTGAGCTTCAGAAGAGAACTGGAAAAGGTCTCACCCATCTTGGTGAACAGGATGGAAAGACCTGGACTGAGTATGAGGATCATTTAGGTGGATCCATAACTGGGTGTACAACTGTAATCTGGAAGGTTATTTCTAGTAATATGTTAGTGCTACAGACTGTTTGTGTCCCCTCTGTCTCCCAGATTCATACATTAAATCCCTGACCCCTACTGTGCCTGTACTTGAAGATAGGGCCTATGAAGAGATAATAAAGGTTACATGAAGTCCTAAGGGTATGGTTCTTACCCAATAGGACTAGTGTAGGGTTCTTATCCAACAGGGCTAGTGTAGGGCTCTTATCCAACAGGGCTAGTGTCAGGCTCTTATCCAACAGGGCTAGTGTCAGGCTCTTACCCAGCAGGGCTAGTGTAGGGCTCTTATCCAACAGGGCTAGTGTAAGGCTCTTACCCAATAGGGTTCGTGTAAGGTTCTCATCCAATAGGGTTAATGTTTTTACAAGAAGAAAAGACACCAGAGCTCTCTCTGTCATGTGAGGACACAGCAAGAAGGCAATTATCTACAAACCAGGAAGAAACCCCTCAAGAGGAACTGCACTGGCCAGCACCCTGATCTTGGACTTCTCAACCTGCACAACTATGAAAAAAGACATTTCTGTCCTTTAAGTCATCAGTCTGTGGTCTTTTGTGAGGGCAATGCTACTGACTTATACAGCTAAGGAGCTATGTCCTTCACAGTATTTACTGGGATGCTTAGATATAAAATTCATACTTACCAAATTTAATATGACTATTGACTGAGGTTGATAATAATTTGGATGCAGAACTGAGTGCCAAAAAGAGTCTAACAGTTTGCAAAGAGATCAAACCTAACAGGATGAAATTCAATATAGATAAATATATGATTCCACCCCTGCATACTACAATAAACAAAGGTAGCTAACTTTCATTGAGTGCTTTCTATGTGTAAGATACTCTTCAAAGTCTTTAATTGGTATTATCTCAATTACTTCTCACTATAAGCCAGTGAGTAAATTTTGCTATTATTCCTATTTCTCAGGAGGCTAAGAAACTTGCCCGACATCACATGGCTGGGAGTGGAAGAGCCAGGAAGAGTCCAGGAGGTATGACTCCAGACCAGGCCTCTGGACCACTGCACTCCCACTACCTCTTCAGGCAGGGATGGAGTCACCAGTCAACAGAAGCAGGTCCACACAAACAAACCCTGTCAGTTGTAACCGATGGCGAGACCGAACAGTCAATGTGAATAGCAGTGCTCTACTCCTCAAAGTAACACACTCTTAGTATCAACACATTTAATATTGATATAAATCTAGAATATTGGCAAACATAGTCCTGCACTTTCCACTAAGCCACATCAAACACCTTTTGGTAATAGTTAAGAGACAATAATTTTGCTCATGAATATTTTTATTCTTGCATAAGCATGTGAAGAAGGGCTTTCAAAACTCATCTCCACTGGCCTAATTTCCTAGTTCCTTCTTGCACTGGTTGAAATCAACTGCTAGGCAAATTCACGACACCAGCCTCTTTACCCCTCCACTTTCAGTTACTTTACAATCACAAGCAACTAGATTAAAAGGCAAGTAAAATGTTTTTGTTTAGTTTAGCAACCAAATAGCAGTAATAATAATAGAAATTTCCTTTCTAGTAGGAAAAATATCCCTTCATGGAGTCTGATGAGTTTGCTCTGCCGTACCCTTTCATCAGCTGTGCTGCTGTGAAGTACGCAGCCATCGCTTGGTCATGCTCACTCTCCACCGCAAACGAATGTCCATAGGCTATCCATGCAGGTCCGTAGGTTTTCTCAAGTGTTGTGGCTTTGCTAAAACAAGAGAGTTAATTTAAGTAATATAATATTTATTCTTTTTTTTTTTTTGTGAGACGAAGTCTCACTTTGTTGCCCAGGCTGGAGTGCCGTGGCGCGATCTCGGCTCACTGCAGCCTCTGCCTCCCGATATCAAGCAATTCTCCTGCCTCAACCTCCCAAGTAGCTGGGATTACAGGCCGCCACCGTGCCCAGCTAATTTTGTATGTTTAGTAGAGATGGGGTTTCACCATGTTGGTCATGCTGGTCTCGAACTCCTGACCTCAGGTGATCTACCCGCCTCGGCCTCCCAAAATGCTGGGATTACAGGCACCGGTCTATTTATTTTTTATTTTTAGAGACAGAGTCTTGCTCTGTCGCTGGAGGCTGGAATGCAGTGGTATGACCATAGCTCACTGCAGCCTCAAAATCCTGGGCTCAAGTGATCCTCCTGCCTCAGCCTCTTGAGTCACTGGGATTACAAGCATAAGCCACTGTGCCTGGCTAATATTTATTCTTAAATTATTAATTTTATATAAGGAGATGGCCTCAAAAACATTAACATTCATTTAGTAAATAAACGAACTGTCAACATATTAAACACTAATGTAACATCTATGTTGAGTCATTTAAACTAAAACTGTTTAACAGTATAGCAAAATTTTAAGAAATTTTAGGAGAGAGTATCACAGCTTTTTATGTACGGTAGCAAACCCCATTAGCATTCTAAATAGAACTTACAGATTTTACTTAATCCAGAAACTCCACTATGTAACCTAGTAGATACATCCTCTCATCCTAATAACTTGCAAGATAAATTCATTTATATTTTAAAGACAGGTATACTGAGGCTTGAGGGATTAAGCGATATCCTGTAGATGGTGGTCAACAGATGTACCCTGGTTACACGGACTGGACTCATATATATCAGCGAATAACTGTATAATTATACAGTGAACACTGTATAATTAACCCACAAGGAATACAGAAAACATACCACAAAACGTGGAAAACATATGGGGTGATACCTTACTTCCTTGTATTTTAAGTTTTCTTTTATCCAAATGTTTCCTGTTTCATGTAGAGCAGGGGTCCCCAACCCCTGGGCCACGGACTGGTATATCAGTCCCTGGCCTGTTAGGAACTAGGAACCAGGCGGCACAGCAGGAGGTGAGTGGCAGGCAGGTGAGTAAAGCTTCATGTGTCAAGAAAGAACTTGCCATTTGAAAAAAGAAAAAAAAAGCTTAATCTGTATTTACAGCCACTCCCCTTCACTTGCATTTCCGCCTGAGCCTCTGTCAGATCAGAGGCAGCATGAGGTTCTTGTAAGTGCGTAAACACTGAGCTCTGCCTCCTGTCAGATCAGAGGCAGCATGAGGCTCCCCTAAGTGCACAAACCCTACCGTTAATCGCACATGTGAGGGATCTAGGTGGCACACTCCTCATGAGAATCTAATGCCTGATGACCTGTCACTGTCTCCCATCTCTCCCAGATGTGACCATCTAGTTGCAGGAAAACAAGCTTAGGACTCCCACTGATTCTTCATTGTAGTGAGTTGTATACTTATTTCATTACATGTTACAATGTAATAATAACAAAAATAAAGTACACGATAAATGTAATGCACTTGAATCATCACGAAACCAGCGCCCCCACCCCTGATGGGGGGGTGGGCTTCCACAAAACGGTCCCTGGTGCCAAAAAGGTAGGGGACCACTGCTAAGAGTCCATCACTGAATTGTACACTAGATTAAAGCAGCATAGCTCAAAAGAACTTTTACAATACTAATCATCTTTCTATGTAGAAGTTCTTCTAAAATGCTAACCATACAACCAACCAGGGAACGTTCTCGTTTCCTCCTAGTACAGGGTACTTTCGTGGCATCAGTTTTTCTAACAATCCTGGTATATGAACATGACATCCCCCCACCCCCCACCCCTTTTTTTTTGAGACAGAGTCTCACTCTGTCAGCCAGGCTGGAGTGCAGTGGTGCAATCTCAGCTCACTACAACCTCCATCTCCCAGATTCAAGCAATTACTCCTCCCTCAGCCTCCCAAGTAGCTGGGATTATGGGCTCATGCCACCACGCCCAACTAATTTTTGTATTTTCAGTAGAGACAGACTTTCACCATGTTGGCCGTGTTGGTCTCGAACTCCTGACCTCAGGTAATCCACCTGTCTTGGCCTCCCAAAGTGCTGGGATTACAGGTGTGAGCCACCATGCCCAGATGACATCCCCATTTTTAAAGAAAGAGAGTAGGAGAAATTAACTTTCCCAAGGAATTTCAGTTGGTAAGTCACAGAACTTGGATTAGAATTCAAATTTGACTCCAAAGTTTATGCTCTTTCCCTTAGAGATCAATTGTTTTGTTTGCACAGAAGAAATCACAGAAATTAGAACATTTAGAGTTTAAGCAATTAATTCTTCATATACTTGACATTTTTCTAAACTTGAATAATACTGGTTAAATAGCTTCACTAGGCTGCATGACTTTCCTTAAGTTAAAACCACAGCAAATCATTATATGAACCAGTTCACCCTGCTAAGAATTCTGTTTTATAGTCACATTTAGTGACCCCAATTTTACGTAAAGTTTTGTGTAATTTCACAACTAATAAAAGAAATCCTAAAAGTAGAAGGTTAACAGGATCTCTGCAAGTGAAAAAGAGAAACTTTCAAACTACATTATTCTCTATTGTTTCATATTTATTCTCATTTATTAATTTTTAATTATTATTATTACTTTTTTGAGACAGAGTTTTGCTCTTGTTGCCCAGGCTGCAGTGCAATGGTGTGACCTCGGCTCACTGCAACCTCCACTTTCCGGGTTCAAGTGATTTTCCTGTCTCAGCCTCCTGAGTAGCTGGGACGCATATGCCCACTACCACATCTGGCTAATTTTTTGTATTTTTAGTAGAGACAGAGTTTCACCATGTTAGCCAGGCTGGTCTTGAACTCCTGACCTCAGGTGATCTACCTGCGTTGGCCTCCCAAAGTGCTGGCATTACAGGCATGAGCCACCATGCCCGGCCATTTATTCTCATTTATAAATAAAATATATAGGTTCCTTGAAAATAGGGTCTACATCACTGATTTTTTTTTTTCTCTCTCTCTCCCCATGGCATCTTATAAAGAAAAAACCTCTTGAAGAAAACATTTATTCAGCCAGGCATGGTGGCTCATGCCTGTAATCTCAACACTTTGGGAGGCCGAAGCAGGAGGACTGCTTGAGGCCAGGAGTTCAAGACCAGCCTAGGCAACACAGTGAGATTTGTCTCTACTAAAAAAAAAATGTTTAAATCAGCTAGGCATGGTGGTGCCTGTAGTCCCAGCTACTTGGCAGGCTGAGCAAGGAGATCATTTGAGTTCAAGGTGAGCCACTATTGCACCACTGCACTCTAGTCTGGGCAACAGAGTGAGAACCTCTTCACAGAGGGGAGGGGAGGGGAGAAGAAAAAGAAACAGAAAGAAAAGAAAGGAAGAAAAAAAAGAACATTTATTCTTTCACATTGCTTTTAAAGTACTCACTAATTACTACTTGAAAGCTTATGAGCAAGACATCAATTCTATAGGTTACCTAGAGAGGAAGAAAATAAATTCATACCTGAGATATCTTCTGGCATGTTCATTTTTATGACCAACCATGAGATAGTAACATCCCACTGCAAACCAAGACACCTAAAAAGTTCAAAATGTACCATAAACAAAGATTGCAATTGGAATATCCAATTGGAATCTGCAACAAATTAGGGTAGACAGAGGGTACACTAGATGTTTCTTATCACATATTCTAGTTACGTTAGACATTTCTCTAACACAGTCTACTAAGGTCCAAAAGGAGAAGAGGGCACACACTCCGTGGCTCTTTCTCAAGGAGACGTCTACAAAAGACAAGGCCCCTGGAGTCCCTGTTTCAAAAACCAGCCTGTGAGTCCTGACCCCCTGCACTGCTCATCTCCCCCAGCGTCCTGACCCCCTGCATATCTGTCTACCCCAGCGTCCTGACCCTCTGCACTGCTCTCTACCCCAGCATCCTGACTCCCTCCTGCTCATGCAGCGTCCTGACCCCTGCACTGCTCATCTCCCCCAGCGTCCTGACTCCCTCCACTGCTCATCTCCCCCAGTGTCCTGACTCCCTGCCTGCTCATCTCCCCAGCGTCTGACTCCCTGCTGCTCATCTCCCCCAGCGTCCTGACCCCTGCACTGCTCATCTCCCCCAACGTCTGACTCCCCTGCACTCATCTCCCCAGTGTCCTGACCCCTGCACTGCTCATGTCCCCAGCGTCCTGACCCCCTGCCTGCTCTCATCTCCCCAACGTCCTGACTCCCTGCACTGCTCATCTCCCCCAGTGTCCTGACCCCTACCTGCTCATGTCCCCAGCGTCCTGACCCCCTGCACTGCTCATCTCCCCCAACGTCTGACTCCCTGCACACTGCTCATCTCCCTCAGTGTCCTGACCCCCAGTGTCCTGACCCCCTGCACTGCTCATCTCCCCCAGCTTGACCCTGGCTCTTCCTTGCTCTCTGACCGCGTTCTGACTATTTAGCTGGTTTTCTCTTGCACTGGTTTCACACTGGGATAGGGTGCAAATTCTTGTCTTGACTGAGTCTTACACCCTGATTCCCGATTTTGTCTTTAAAAATGCAGTCCCTGATTCCATTTTCCATTCCTAGTTCTCCATTCCAATCCACGACAGTTTGGAATCAGTACACAGTTCAGTAAGTTGTCTTGTTCGTGCAGTGTGAGAAAGCTACCAAACAACTATCAGCATTTCCTAGGAAAGGGATGCCTGACTGCCATGGTCAGCATTTTATATTGCTAGATGCTAAGTGTTTTAAAATAAGCATGTATAATTTCTATAATCAGAAAAGAGGGTTAAAAACCCTTTTTGCTTTGGTATAATTAAAATATACCTTCATGGGTGGAAAAGTTAATGCTGCTTTGTAAGTACGTTAAACACTAGGAGATTCTGCTGCAACACTTTAATAAAACAGCACTTGCTTGAACGTAAGCTATTGTCTAAATACAAGTTAAGCATTTTCTTAAAGTTCAGGTAAAAAAAAAAACTATGACTAAAAGTTGTATTACTTACAGGATTACTAGGATATAAATCCACCAGTTTATGAGAAAGATAGAAAAGTTCTGTTCAGGAAAAAGCAGAAAAAGAACAACTGTTCATATCACATGTGATTTAAGACATGACTTCATTACAACTCTTCACAGTCACAGAATTCTGTTCTTACAGCAATGTAAGAATTTCATACTTGTCTGTCTTTCTAGATACAAAATTGACTCTCTAACTGGAGAGTTAGATGAAGGACACATGGTGCGCAAGGTGGGAACAGACACCCCCTAAGAAACCACTTCCTGAATACTGCAGAGGATACAGCAAAGCACCTCACCTCTCTCAGAAGCTCATGCCTGTCACACCAAGGGCCTATTACGGACCATCATAACCACCCACAACCAATTTGGTTGAACAAACTTTTATCAGATCAGTGATACTATGTAATCTTGAGAAATGTGTAAATCCTGGCATTTCGAGATGACCTTCCTACACGCAGACTTGGATTCAGCAGACCAGGGCAGCTGGAGATGCTGCATTTCCAACCAGCTTCCACAAATGTGATGTTGCTGGTCCACAGACCACACTCTGAGCAGCAGGGATTCGGTGAGGGTTTTCCTTCCTGACAGAGCTCACCATTCGGTTTAGAAAAATTTAAGGACAAATGCATCCCCAAACACAGCTAAATGTCAAATGTTAAAAATACGGAAAACACGAGAAAACAATCTGCTCCCCTCCAATTTCTAAGTAGTTATCGACTCTTACCATATCAGATTTCCAATGGAATTTACAAAACAAAAAGGAAAAAAATGGCAGAACTGACACCCAACAATTTAAAGTTAACAAACCTTGAAACATAAATGATATCTGAGAAAAGGTAGTAGGAAACAGCGATAAAGAACTAATTGTTCTGATGGGAAAACAAAATTGGTCATTTGCTACTTTCCTAAACATTTCCTTCCCAGTTGTTACTCTTATTGTAGGGTTCCGTTATGTTACCTGCAATCCCAACTATCCAGAATTTCAGGGACAAAATTTCAAGTTACAGAAAAAAATCGTTTTATGTCTAAGAATTACTTTAATTTATAAAAAATCTTACCATTGGCTTTATTCAGCTCTACAAGCGTCCCTATATGTACAGGTAAACAACTTGCATGGAAAGGATCTTTCTCCATTACTCTGAAAGTTAAAAAGCAACACATTACTGCCCCAAAACAGTAGGTGACGGCACTCATGAGGATCAGCTATGTGCAGCCATCACAGCATCACGTATGATGCTGCGGGTTGTAATACTGCACTTTCTTCACTCCATTATCTTCAGGTTGATTCAGTTAAGGCCACAATTAAGTGACAAATTAAAGAAAAAATTCTGGTTTGTTTGAAAGGAATAAAAATAACGTTATCACAAACATTTACTTTAAGTCAACAGAATTATAATATATAAAATAAGTAGGCCGATCATTTAAAAGAATCAAAACCAATAGGAAATACTATTAGGTTGGTGCAAAAATAATTGCAGTTTTACCATTACATCCAACAGCAAAAACTGCAATTACTTTTGCACCGACCTAATAAATAGGTTACGTGTTTTGTCAATTAAAATTTTTGTAATTTCAAGGATTTTAAACCCAACCAAGATCTACAAAAAACAGTATATGTCATTTAGCTAAAGTTTAAATTATGCACACTGGAAAACTGATGCGTGTGGGAGACGGCTTAGCTACCGAGTGCAGCATATTGAACACCCAGCATCCACAGCGTGAGTCTCTCATTGAGAATGAATTTTACAAAACAATGTGCCAAAATGGTATTTTCAAACTTGCAAATTATCAAGATCAGTAAGAGCAAGGTGTATATCCCTCCCAAGTTAATGTAATAAATCTACGAATATGCATAAACTCATGTCTGCAAACTGCTCTTTTAAGACAGCACCCTGTTCTGCGCTCTACAAACGGTAAAGGTAACTTAAATTATCATCCAGTTCAGGATGATTCAGAGAGCACATCCATGAATCACTTAGGTAAGACGGAGTGAACTCCATGTTCCTACAGAAAAACTGATGGATATACTTACACCGAAGTAAGTTTGTAGCACATTTTAAAATCACAGTTATAATAATGTCTCTCAGCTAAAGACACTACCACATCCAGATTCTCCTGCAAGCCATCTACAGACTCAGGGATGACCGTTTCACTAGGCTTATTATACTGAAACACAGAGAAATGTAAACATAAACGCAATGAGCAAAAACCAAATAAAATGCGATTCAATTTGTGTTTGACCCAAGTGGTTAAAACATTTACAAGAACAAATGTGAGCCTCTGAAAACTTCTAACTTTAGGTTTTATAAGTACTCCTCTCAGTAAGTTTAACTCCCTTCTCAATTTTATCACAGAATTCCATAGTGGGATGTATTTCTCAAAGTAAACATTCAGGAAGTATAACAAAAAAAATCTTCATTTTCATGCAACACCATTCCATTTACTTGGTAATTCAATCTTTTAGTATAAGGAGTCTTTCAGAGGAAGACAGGTATTTTTGGAAGTGTTTTTTTGGAATCTTATATATTTTAAATGCTCTATTCTTGAAAATGTGCTAAATTTAAAAAGTTTTAATTTCGAAAGTTTAATACAAGACTAGATGCCAAATTTAATGGAATACGATATTTACATAAAGCAAATGCTCACTCTTTGGTTTTACTTACTTTTTTCAATTTGTTCTCAAATAGAAAACGCAGCAATTCCTGTTCTTCATTACACAGCTTGCTAAGAGGTAGTGATTCAAGAAGTTCTTTTTCTTAAAAATGGTAAGAAAAAAAAGAATATCCTCATAATATTTATAGACGGAAAAAAGCCAACAACTAAAAATATTATTCTATAGTTCCTGGTCTAAGTAAATCAAACTCAAAAGAGAACGTAAGAAGATCAAAATGTGCTACAGAAGCTGACACAGTAGTTCCAGGCCTGAAGATGGGAATCATCTGGTAGGTGGAGGCCACTCTTCTAGGGCTGAGGCCAGGTCCCAGGTGGCTCTTGTCACCTAAGAACCACCAGTCTCCGCACTCCTGACACTGCGGGGATCTTGCTCTGCTGGGGACGGGGGAGCCCGTGCACTGCAGGTGCTAAGCAGGACCTCTGGCCGCCAGCCGCTAGATCCCAGCAGCAACCTCTCAGCCTCCCTCCCTGACCCTCAGCTGTGACAAACAATGTCTCCAGACATTGCCAAATGTTCCCGGGGGGTGGGGGCGGCAAAATCACCCTGCGCTAGGCTAGAATACGTTGGAATCCCATTAATTCAACCACTCTATTTTCTGTTTCCCTTCTTTACCCACCTCACATTACTGCCAACATACTTGGGACTGTGATTCTCAGTGCCTGTGGTACATTAGGATCACCTGGGAGCTTTAAACCATCGGATAGGATCTCACCCCAAGACTCCCACTCAACTGCTCTGGAGTTGGGAACCGGACATGGACGTTGCTCAATTTTCCCAAGGATTTAAAGAGCAACACGGCTGAGAATCACTGAATGAGATACTGAAATCCTGGTTTATACTATCTCAATCACTTCTCAAAAAGATGGTCTCTTCCTATTACAATCCCTGGATTCGGACAGCACAAGGCACCGCACAATACTGCATTCTGCAATGTGCTTTACATTTGAAGACTAAGAAAGTCAGTAGGTCTATTTAAACCCGTACGTGGCCTGCTGTTGACTTAGAAGATTTCAGAGGCAAAAAATCCAAACAATATTAATTTTGCTAAACATAAAACACCTGAGTTTCCAAACCTTCTTGTGCTGTCAACATGTGGTGTGATGTTAGAAGATCAAATGCTTCAAAACAGTAGACATCAAGCTTCAAAGCTTCTTTGTAGCTGTAGGTAGCCAGAGTTCGGTTATCTAGAGCATCATAGATTTTCCCACGTAGAAGACAAATAGAACTCTTTATCTGTTGGAAAAATAATGAGTCGCATATAAAGTCAGTATTTTTAAACTTAACTTTTTTTTTTTCCCTTAGAGGCAGAGTCTCATTCTGTCTCCCAGCCTGGAGTTCAGTGGTGCGATCATAGCTCACTGCAGCCTTGAACTCCTCTGATCTCAAGTGACCCTCCCACCTCAGCCTCCTGAGTAGCTAGGATTACAGGTGAACACCACCACGAACAGCTAATTCCTAAAATTTTTTGTACAGACAATCTTGCTGTGTTGCCTAGGCTGCTCTCAAACTCCTGGCCTCAAGTGATCCTCCCACTTTGGCCTCCCGAAGTGCTGAGATTACAGGCATGAGCCACCATGCCTGGCCCTTAAACTTAACTTTTGATAGAGAATTGTGTCTTAGAATACTGAGAAGTTTTTATTGCATTTAAAAGGATTTAATTACAACTCTCAAGGCATGAATAAAAACACACACACATACACACACAAAAAAAAAAAACAGCAAAGTTTCTTCAATTCATCTTCCCTGGGCTCTAACCGCTCTGTTCCAACACATCTTTATAACCAAAGTCCGTGTCACAGCTACCAGGTTCATTACCTGTTGTGTCCAAAACAGTGCAATGATTTAGAGACGGCAAACAGAGTGTGTGTGCATGTGTATAAAACTCCAAGATTGACAGTGTGATAGGTAGACACCCCTCAAAAGGATCTTCATGAGCAGAAACTGGCAGCAATGCAGCACAGTGGTCAGAGCAGTCAGCATAATGGCCTGCTGGGGCAGGACAGACCCGAGTTCAAACCCCAGCTCTGCCACTTGTAACCTTGGACAAGTGACTGAACCTCTCTTGGCCTCCATTTCCTTTCCTCATCTGTAAAAGGGTAAAAACACTAACTTATAGAACTCTGAGGTCTAGAGATGCTACCCTCTCTGTGGTGCTAGCACACAGTAAAGTGTTCAATGGCCATCTCACGACTACCACAAACAAGAAGATATGGAAATCTGATGCACATTCTAGACTCTGGACCTCAAACACATAACCGAACTGAAAGATGATCCAGCAACAGGCAGCTAAAATCATTAAGGATATGAAGAAGATTCGTAAAGTAAAATGTTAGAAAAAATAATGAATTATGAGAGTCTTCAAGATAAACAATATCCTAGGACTTGCTTTTTTTAAAAATGTAATTTCACAAAATCGATAACAATCATTACAAATAAATCACACATTTCGTGGCAGGTAAGTTAATAGATAAGAGGTCCTAAAATAATGACTGTACCAGACACTCTCATAAATGCATTTCTTAGCAGAAGAATGTGCTTCCCAACACATACATTAATGAGTGGCCAGAAAAAAAACAGACAAAAAAAAAACCTAGAATGTGTAATATTCTTTTATGCTTAAAAATAACTAAGGTGAAAAGTAGATGAATAAAGTTCTACCAAAAATATAAAGAATAAATGGGCCAGGTGCGGTGGCTCATGCCTGTAATCCCAACACTTTGGGAAACTAAGGCAGGAGGATCACCTGAGCCCAGGAGTTTGAGACCAGCCTGGGCAACACAGTGAGACCCTGTCTCTACAAAACATTTTTTAAAAAATTAGCTGACTGTGGTTGCATGTGCTTGTAGTCCCAGCTACCTGGAAGGCTGATGTGGGAGAATCACTTGAGCTTGGGAGGTTGAGGCTGCAGTGAGCTGTGACTGTGCCACTGCACTCCAGCCTGGGCAACAAAGCAAAGCCCCGGACTTAATTAAGAAAAAAAAAAAAAAGATGTGGGAAAAAAGATAAATTGGTAGGTAGGTCAGATAAGGCTTACAGGGATTCTTTCTGAATAATAAAAATATTCTAAAATTGACCATGGTGAGGTTTGCAAAGCTCTGTGAATATACTAAAAGGAATCAAACTATACAGTTTAAATGGGTGAACTGCATGGCATATGAATTAAACCTCAATAAGTTTTTATTTAAAAAAAAAAAATCCAGATTAGTGATCTGTAAATGTCACTTAATAAATTATTATACAATTTCTGGCCGGGCACGGTGGCTCAAGCCTGTAATCCCAGCACTTTGGGAGGCCGAGACGGGCGGATCACGAGGTCAGGAGATCAAGACCATCCTGGCTAACAAGGTGAAACCCCGTCTCTACTAAAAAATACAAAAATCTAGCCGGGCGAGGTGGCGGGCGCCTGTAGTCCCAGCTACTCGGGAGGCTGAGGCAGGAGAATGGTGTGAACCCGGAAGGCGGAGCTTGCAGTGAGCTGAGATCCGGCCACTGCGCTCCAGCCTGGGCGACAGAGCGAGACTCCGTCTCAAAAAAAAAAAATAAATAAATAAATTATTATACAATTTCTGCCAGCAAGGAATGTGCAATTTCATGGAGATATGAAGTATACAAACTGAAATACACAAAATTACATAGCAATGTACTTTGAAGCAAACAGGAACACAAAACCATTTCCCGGAAAGAAACAATGTAAGCTAATCGAAGTTTCTTGGGGTAGGTCCAAAACACTGTTGAAACACAGAAAGGAGGAGAAAAATTATTCCACTTTTAGGGAGTAGCTTAAGACATCAGAGAAGGAAGATTTCAAGCCAGCCTACTTTGGATGCAGGCATCTGTAGATACAATTACAGCTTCCAACTGAGGGCTCAGAAATGTCTCAGAATCTTTTTTGGTTTTGGTGCGCAAATTAAATAAATTGGCAACCACAATTGTTTTAATATAGTAACACTCCAGTAAAAGAAGATAATGTATTTCTACCACGTAATGGGGGCAATTCTCGCTGCCGTTACTGAGGTGTGCTAACAGTACTACTTACTGAAGACTGTGACATTTCCCAGTCACTGGAGGGATCTTTGAAGCCACTTTCATCCTTCAAGTATTTTTCAAATAATCTTTTGTTGATTGGCTCTTCCATATCAAGAATATCAAGGGCCTGCTGATGCTCTTTTGCAGCATACTATGTGGAAAACAGAAATGCCACTCATCACCCACAATTTCTAACACTAAACATATGATCCAGATTTTTAAAGGATAATATATATTATATCCATTACTTAAATATAAAATGTCTAAAGTAGAATTTTCTTCATGCATGTCACCTTTTAGTAAATGAAGAATCAGTATTTTACAGCAAACAATACTAAGGAAAAGAACACTTCCTCGTGAAATACTTTACTAACCTGCTAAGCTACATCACTAAAATTCTCACACATATATAAGGGATGCATAACACTCATTTTATTCAACCAAATAAAAATGAAATTGTGAGCATACTTACATGGCACCTAGCTGCGAGGTAACGACACGCTTCATACAACTAGGAAAGAAATTAATTTGTTTAAATAGTGGTCAAAATAATACGTATTTTCACTTTCAAAGAAAGCCATAAGCATAAAATAGAGCTAATTTCATAATTTCTCGTTTTACTCTTGCAGTTAAAAAAATAAAATTCCAGTCTTGTTAAACCATATTTATTATGAACCTACTGTTTACCAGGCACCAAGGATTCAAAAAGGCCCTGCCCCAGGTGGTTACGGTAGGGAAGACATGAACTAAGCACAACAGGTAAGCATGACGAAAGGGGGTCACAGAAAGCACCAGCCAGGTGGAGAAGGAAACATCTGCAGGAGAGCAAGTGAGGCAGCGAGTAAGTGGTCAGAGGAGTGGAGCGCTGGGCAGCACTTCAAGCACTGAGTGTGAATAACTGCTGGGTGTCCAAGGAGCTCACAGCAGCCCCACGTGACTGGAGCACGTGCTCCAGGTATTGATGGTGGTGGATTAGACACAGACTGGAGAGAAATCATGGAGGGCCTCACAGACCTACTGATGCATCTGACTTTATCCTGTAGGTAATGGGAAGTCACTGAATGACCTTGTGGGAATATAATCACATCTGTGTTTTAGGAAGACTACTCACCCCTGTAACAGTTCACAAGATGAACTGGACACAGGGAAGGTGAGCAGAGAAAAACTGTTACTGCGGAAAAGAGACAAGAAGAGAGGCTGTAACAGAACAGACAAAGAATCAAAGGTCTGACACGTATGAGTGGGGAGGAAAAGGAATATCCATGATTTCACAGCTGTTCAGAAAACAGTCTTCAGAATTTAGACTAGACGGGAGATGGCGAAAAAGAAGGTGACAGATGAGGTGTAAGACATTTTCCCTTCACATTCGGTAAAAAAAATTGGGCCTACTGTGATGACTCACATCTATAATCCCAGCACTTTGGGAGACCAAGGCAGGAGGACTGCTTGAGACCAGGAGTTCAAGACTAGCCTGGGCAACATAGTGAGGCCCCATCTCTACCAAAAAAATTTTAAAATTAGCTGGGTGTGGTGGCATGCACCTGTAGTCCCAGCTACTAGGGAGGCTGAGGCAGAAGGATCACTCGAACCCAGGAGTCTGAGGCTATAGTGAGCCACGATCATCCCACTGCACTCCTGGGTGACACAGAGATCTCAAAAAAACAAAAACAAAGAAAAATTGCATAAATTTAAATAACTTCAACATAATGGAATATACACCTAAAACACTAATGACTTTTTTTTTTTGAGACGGAGTCTCGCTCTGTAGTCCAGGCTGGAGTGCAACATACGACCTCAGCTCACTGCAACCTCCACCTCCAGGGTTCAAGTAATTCTCTGCCTCAGCCTCTCGAGTAGCTGGGATTACAGGTGACTCCCACCACGTCCAGCTAATTTTTGTATTTTTAGCGGAGATGGGGTTTCACCATCTTGGTTTTGAACTCCTGACCTCGTGATCCACCCGCCTTGGCTTTCCAAAGTGCTGGGATTACAGGTGTGAGCCACCGCGCTCGACCACTAATGACATTTTTTTTAAAGCTCTGAAGAGCTTTAAAGTTCATACCATTACTTACTTTGTCCAGTTTTCGTGACCGGAGTGCATGGGCAGCTCTGTGATATTGTGCTGTCAGGTAAAGACATTGAGCCAACCAATAGATGTCCTGGGGTTCCTCTGGAGGGAAAAATTCACGTAAGTGGTCAGAGGTACAAGGTGAAATAGAAAAAAATTTAAGATTAATCAGAAAAACAATTAGTATTGTCACTTACCGTGAGAGAGTGAAGCTACTTTATCTGCCCAAAATAGAGCACTTTGATACTGCTGCTGCATATCAAAAAAAAAAAAAAAAAAAAAGGTGGTAACTGCCCTGTTATTTCAACAGTCTTAAACTGGTATCTAATATTATTATAATTCTATGTAATAAATCTACATCTCAAGACAACAACTTGTTGCATCTCTATCTTATATCTCACATCGGGTGAATTTTAGTTCAATGTCACAATACAAATATTACTGTAATATCTGTGTATATACAACTCACGAAGATAATTTTTAAAACTCATACTGTAAAAATGTATCGCGAAACATACAAGTGAAATGCAAGTGAAACAGCAAAAACTAGTCTAACAATTCTTGTGCTATTTATATAACACTTTCAACGATCTGTTAATGGATCCCAAAGTGAAATTTAGTAGATAGAACACTATACTCAAATACCTTATATAAAACAGTTGCAGTTTTAATAACACTCAAAATTTAAAAACACACACACATAAATTAACCAAGCTTCAATGAACATGGGGAAGAACTCGCCTCCTCCAAGTCTAACAAAAATTAAGGAGCCGACAATAAGAGCCAGCCACCCAGTGACCTACGGCTAGCTTTAGTCCCTGTTCTGCTCCTCGGTCCTCAGTCTTCTACAGTCTCTGCCTCAGTTCCCCTGGAGGCAAGCCAGGACCACTGCTGCCAGCCCGAGGCAGGAGGAATGGCAACGGGATGGTTACAAATATGCTCAATACCAGAGTCTCCGTCTGGAAACCAGGCCTGTTATATTCCTCACTACGATCACAAAACACTGAATTCAACTGACTTATGGTAAACAAAAACACTGCCCTCCAAATGGACTGCAAACATGTGGCCATGTCATTTAGCACCCAATTCCGAAAACTCTGCCTTACCATGGCTTTTCTTTCCCTTCCTTTCCAATTTCCTGAAAGAGCAAGCATTTCAACAAAAAATAAACGACATTATAGATAAAACTGATGCTGCTGATTCTCGAAGACACTTCTTTAAACACTGTTATTCACTCAAAGGTAGTGCAGGGAACACAGACATAGTTAACGAGAATTTTTAAAGTACTGATTTCAGACAACAGGCTTCTGCACATCTTTATTCACTTAAATTCAGTCCAATAAAAATTACAACTAAACCTCTCAAAAATGTTTTATTCGCTAGCCCTGCAACTTTCCTTCAAAAATTGTCCTTCAACTTGCACTGAGTAGTCGGTGTTTCTTGGGCACCTCCTCCGCGCCAGGCGCAGAACGAGGCTCAGACCCGAGCGAGGCGCCCCCTGCGCTCGGGGGCCTCCACTCCCCGGGCTGTGCCCCTCCCAGCGGCAGGGGCCGCTCCCTTCGGGGGAAGGCGGAGACAGCGCTGCTGGCCCCAGATGAAGGCCCAGGGCCGGCCCAGTCCTTCCCCACCAAGAGCCCTGATGGCAGTCACCCCAGCCCCACGCCGCGCGGAAACGGACCCGGCGCGGCCTGCCCGGGCCCCGCACACCCAGTCCGGGCCGCCCACCTGGTCGAGGTACTGCCGGACGCGCTTCCGCAGCCGCTCTAGGTTCATGGCCGCGCGGGCCCGGCCTCACGCCGCACTCCGCCGCCCGGCGCGCGCCTCCTGCCTGCTCCGCGCCCCGCCCCGTGCCCGTGCCCGTGCCCGTGCCCGCCGCCGCCGCCGCCGCCGCCGCCGCCGCCGCCGCCGCCCCAGAACTCGAAGGCCGCAGACCAGCACCCCGGCCTGGTCCCGGTGCGCCGCCCAGGCTCTTCCGCTCCAGACAGGCCCCGCCCCGGAATTCCCCAGCAAACGAGTCCCATCTGGCGCGGGAAACCGGCCCTGAGTTGCTGGTTCCGATGCCTCTCCTGGCACGTGGGCCTCTGGCCGCCGTGGAGCGAGAGCGCGGCCTCCCCGGAATCACTGCGGCGCGTCTGGGCATTGGCGAGAGACTCAGGAGGGCTCGGGGCCGGACCACCCACCCGGGCAAAAAGCAGGTGGCTGAGCAATGGAAAGGGGGCCTTTAGCTGAGCCTTCCTTCCCCAGAATGTAGTCAACATTTTAAAAACAAGAGCAACGCACTCTCATTACCAAAAACAAAACAAAAAAAAAATTGTGTGCACAAGCAGCAAAGGAAGTCAAAAGACAACCTAGGAAAAATTGGAAACCTATCACAAAATGCGAATTTCCTTATAACGTAGAGCCAGTATTCCCTTTACGTATATGTAATAAGTGGGAAGAGATCAATGGTTCAGGAGAAGGACAAAAAACAGTTCACAGGGAAAGAAATGCAAATAGATTTTAACATACGAAAGAAAGCAACTTATGTTGTTTATCAAGAATTTACATTAAGACAACATAAGCTATTGACTGACTATAGATTTTTCTTTGTCTCACAGACTCCAGAAACGTGAAACAGCAGTAAGGAACAAAATGCCTTAAACAATTGCCCCTGTGGCATGGGGAGCAGTGCCTGAAGTGAGTCTCACACTCACGTCCTGATAAATTTTGCATCCTTCAAATAGTTCAGACTGCTCTGAGCTATTTTTCTTTCCTCAAAACCTTCCATCATTGTATTTCCTCTACCACACTTACTAACTGGTTAAACTGATAGGGCTCATAAATACTGTGTATTACCTCACTTGACAAAATGGACTTTGTAAGAGGTGATTAAGTTAAGATAGGTTGTGTGGCTGGGTGTAATGTAATTACAAGAGTTCTTACACATGAAAGTGGGCGGTGGGGGTGACAGTCAGACTGGAAGATGCTGCTGCTGGCTTCGAAGATAGGAAGGAAGGAGGAGAAGGAGGGAAGGGAAGGGGGGGAGGGGAGGGAGAAGGTAGGTAGGTGAGCCGGCAGTGCAGGTGGCCTCCAGAAGCTGAGAAAGGCCAGGGACTGGATTGTCACTTAGATGCTCCGGGAGCACAGCACTGCTGATGCCTTGATATCCTGCAGAGACCATTTCAGGTAGTGATCAGAGGTTAGCAAACAAAATTAGAGCTCTGCCAAATATGTACATGCCCGGGGCTGGTTTGTCTAACAGAATGTTCTGTTAATTTTCCTCTCCTTACATTCTCTCCCAGTATTTGCCCTTGTTAAAGAAGATAAAATTTCAGGACCCTCTAAATTTACTACAAGGGGGAAGTTAAGCCCTGGAGACTGAGTCACAGAACATGTTTGCAATTCTGCAATACTGAGTTTTGTGAAATTGAGTGTGTAAAAATCTGTGTTTTGTGGTTTTAAAAGATAATTCCTTCCTTAAACTAGTTCCTGAAATATGGTCAGGAAAACAAGACTTGGATTTTTCAGTATGACCAGAATATTAAATATGCCAAGTGGTTTCTCAAGAATTTAAATGACTCTGAAAGGAAGAGAGAACAATCGCCCTTCTCACTGATTAGTGAGGTGGTATTGTCGCCACACGAGAGCAGTTTACAAAGTTAGAGAATTCTGTTGGCTGAAACTGCAAAATGTTGAGGCTTTGAAGGAGCAAAAGCCACAATTAAGAAGTCAATGATTGGCAAATATGTCTTTGTTGTCATTTTACAAAGACAGTTCCCAGGTTCGGAATTAACATCTATCCAAACGTCAAATCTCAATCCACCTTGCGTTTCTCCACACCCTGCGGCTGCAGGTCTGCTCCGGTGCTGCCTTGGAGACCTCCAGATCCACCTGGACCCCACAGACAGGGGCCGTAAGCATCGCCTGCAGAGTTGGGCAGAGGAAGTTCAGAGCTTCCCCGCCGGGACATGAGCACCCCACTAACACTCTTAAAAAGAAAAACCTTCTGGGTTAATACCTTTTTTTTGAATTAACCTCTATCCAGGTAAAAAAGGATTGATAAGTAAATGTTTGTTAATTAAAATTGAGGCTTTCTGTTGGCTTAGAAATGTTAAGCTTTGTGGCACTTACCGATGTGGAAAGTAAGACCCAGCGAGGGTGACTTACCTAAGCGAGGTCCCAAAACTGCAACTGAAACCAAGTCCCTGAGCTGACAACGGCCTCTTGGGTGTCGCACCCATTCGTGAGTATACCTGGGGTTTTAAGGCAAATGCAGGCTGTGGGGACACCAAGAACATCAGCCTGGGGTTTGCAGCTTCCCCCCTCTCCCTGCCTCTTCAGAGACGATGCCCTCTGGGTGGCGGCGATCAAGTTCTCTCAGTGCGGGGAAACTCTGCGGGGTGAAGGGAAGCCTGGAGAGGGATCTGCCAGGCCCCGTGTCGCCAGCATCACCTCCTGAAACTGCAGTAAAAGGACTGGGAGGCCACTACAAGCAAGCCGCGCCACCAAGACAGAGCATCCTGAGGTGCCGGACGCCTTTTCTTCCTAGCATCCTGTCCCACCACCTGCAGGACACAGCAGCACTAGTCATGCTGCACAGGCTCCCTCTGCGGCTTCTCAAAGACTGCTGTCCACAGACGTGGGCCCAGCCCTGCGGACATGAGGGTAACAGCCAATTCAGAAATGTTGTGATCTCTAGCTGGTTATCTGATTATCTTTCTCACTATCAAATTAACTGAATCATGCCCTCATGTTTTGTTAGGTGGATATGAACTTTGTCATGAGCCATGACAGTGTTCACTGCTCTCAATTTCGATGTCAAATTTGGGAAAGCACTTTCTAGTACAAGTTGTTCTTCTGATTGACTCATTCACGTGTGCTTTGGTCTCCTGTGCCAGTGTTCTGCCAGGAGCAGGTGATGGAGTGCAGATTGTGGAGGGCCCTGTGAACACAGGCTTGATGCCTGTGGAGGCCATAGTGGCAGTCCTCAAAGGGACGCCAAAATGGAACTGAAGGATGGGTTGGCCCAGTGGATAGGGGAGGGAGTGGGGGTGGGAGAAGGCCCAGGGCATTCAGGGAATGCAGAGAACCTCGTCTGGCTGGAACGCAGTGAGTTAGGGCCTGTAAGATGAATGAGGAAAAGCTCCCTACAGTGATGTGTGAAAAAAAACTGCCTCTGGGTAATCTACAATGCTTACAGGTGTTGCCCAGTGCCAAAAATATTTTATTAACACACAGTTTGCTTATGCCAAGACATATTACCATTATCGCCTGAAACATAGTGCTGAGGATAATTTCTTAAAATGATAGCAGTATTTCACTGAAAAAAGCGTGAAATCATCTAATCTGGAGATAGACACACACCACACACTGGTGCACACCCCCCCAGACACACTACACACCGCACACTAGTCCACACACACCACACACAACATACCACACACCACATACTAGTATAAACCCAACAGACATACTCCACACAACATACCACACACATACCCCACAGACACATCACACACCACACACTAGTGCACACAACACAGACCCCACACACACACTGCAGCCCCCCCGCCCAATGCTTACGAACTGCTGATTCCAGTGAATGTGGCACTTGGTGATTGGTGACATTCTTCTCGATCAGTCCTCCTTATTCTGGGTTACTTTGTATGTATTGAGATTTAGACATTATTTTGCCACAATTTATGATTTGATGAAAACATGGGGAAAAACATGAGAAAGAGTGATGGGGTGTTGGAATTGTGGGCTCCTAAAAATTTCCCCTCAGCCTTGTAGAAAATGAGAAAATCTCCAAGTGTCTGGTTAATTTGCCCGGGTACTTCAGTCAGCGGCATCTTTTTTGTTTGTTTTTGAGACAAGATCTCCCTCAGTCACCCAGGCTGGAGTGTGTTGGTGGGATCTCTGCTCACTGCAGCCTAAACCTCCCAGGCTCAAGCAATCCTCCCATCTCAGCCTCCTGAGTAGCTGGGACCATAGGCACCACCACACCCGGCTAGTTTTTGTATGTTTTGTAGAGATAGGATCTCACTGTGTTGCTTAGGCTGGTCTTGAATTTCCAGACTCAAGCAACGCGCCCCATCCCCCACCACCCCCCGCCGTATCAGCCTCCTGAGGTGCTGACAGGTGTGAGCCACTGCTGGCCCGCCGCATCTACTTCACAGGACGTCCATTCTGGAGATTGCCGCTAGTGGGCACCATTTCTCCATGTGTCCATGGGCTTTTCTCTAAGGTCCTTGTAAGGCGATGGCTGCTGGCCTGGGGCATTTCATTTTTTGAAAGTCTCTCACCAGACACGCACTTATGCAGGCGAGGGACTCTGAAGGTTGTCTCGGGGCCCAGATCACAGAATCTGAGAGGCAATGGGGTTTTACAGATGGATTCCCTAAGGGTTCAGTTTAAGGGGTTCTTTCCATTTCGCCACTGTTTTGAGGGTCAGTACAATTTGTGGTTCCCCTTCCCCAACCTGTGGGTTACATAAAAACTAAATCTGGTCTTTAAAGAACTATTTGTTGTCTACGGAGTTTTAGGACATTATAGTTACTGTTGAGGAGAGAAGACAATTAAACAAATACCTGTACAAGAAAAGTCCTAGTTGGTAAATACTGAGAGCTTTACAGCTACGTGAACAGAATGACATTTCACGAGTGGCTCCAGCCCAGTGTGGCACATCTCCGGACCTGAAAACAAGCTCAGTGTAACATGGGACAGACGTCACAGTCCGCCGCCTGTGTCAGTCTTGCTGGTTTTAATAAAGTTTCAATGTGTGTTTCCCGACCAGACCCATGTGCTGAACCCAGCTGTAGTTCACCGGAGTTTGCCTTCTCTGCTAAGCAAGTCTGACCTCCAGGCTTGGCAACCATTTCTGGAACAGAGACATTTCACAGTGTTAGCACCCGAAAGGCCTGGACTCCATCAGCTGCCCAGGTCGCATTTCTAGAAC